CCCCCCCCCCCCCCCCCCCCATCCTGACCGCATCACCACTCGCTTACCGTCGCTGCCCCAGTGCACCTGGCGGCTGGGGGCCGCCTGGGGCGATATATACGGGCTGTACGGAGGAGTCGGGGCCAGCACCGGCTCTACGGGCGGTCCTCTGCCTGCAGGTATCGAAGATTGCCACTGCCAGGTATCCGACAGCACGAGGATGGACGGAGGGACGGGGAGAGGCTCCTCTTGACCATGACGCGCAGTTTCGGCCGTGATCGAACCCTCCCGCGACCCTCTGGCGATTGGTCCGAGGAGTGGCTAAGCGCTAGGGGGGTACCCCGGTAAGCCCTGCGACAGAGTCGAGAGACTCTCCGTCGGCCTGAAGCCTCATCCGACTCCTGGCGGCGTCTCAGTTTGAGTGACCTCTTACATGCGCTAGCGTAGGGCATCTTCTCACCTCTCCCACCCTGTCGCTCTGAGCCGTATGTCCAGGCCGTAGTCTTATGCGTTTTGCTACCCTTTTTCTGTCCGGTGAAGCTCGTTGTTGGGATTGAACCAAACACACTCACTCCCACGGACCACATCACATACTTGCCTCCCCCCCCCCCCCTCCCCAGTCAAGTCCTCCTCCCACGCCGTAACGGTCGTATCCTCGTATTAACTCCGTGCTCTTCTTTCCTTTTTATTCTTTTATTATTATTATCATCATCATTATTATTTTCGGGTGGGAAACTCCTACAGAGCTGATTAGACTTCTTTTTTGCCAATGCCTTGGCGGCAATTAATCGCCGTACCTATACGCGTTTCGCGCGCCCCTCTCTCCCTCCCCTTCTCCCTCATCCAGCTCGGCTCTGACGACCCTTACAACATTAAACCCATCGTGTACGAGTATTATCCCGGCCTTGGACCGGGGTGTTGATTGGAATCAAGAGCTCTCTCTCTTTTTTTTTCTTTCTTCCCTTTTCGGTATGCGGGCACCGACACACAGCACATGGTATTACATGGTCAAACTACGGATACCACCACAAGCTTGGCATCATCGAACAAGGGGCCAAACGAGAACAGAAAGTCCATCACCCCTGTGTGTAGCACGAGATATTACCAAACCAGCATTGTTACATGGGACAAAGCCCTCCGTGAGGTTAGAAGGGAGAGGAGAAGAGGAGGGGGGGGGGGGGGGGGGGTGAGCAACATGGCAATGAGAAATGACTATTTGTTCAACTCGCCGGCTCTCCCTCATCCCGTTCTTCTCCTCCTCCTCTCTCTCTGCCACACATTACAGTCCCTTTTGTTCCTTCTTGTACTCTTCTCTTCTCTTCCCTAACGCTGGTAGTGGGACCCATTCACATTCGTTCCCTTGTCGTGACGGCTGTGCCTGTTTCTTTTCTTTTCTTTTCTTCCTTTTTCTTTTCAAGACACCTCTTACATATCTTTTGATATCAAGTCTTCCTTTTTTTCTTCTTCATTCTTCTTCCCCCTTTTCAACTTTTGGGCTGGCACCCATTTTTATATCGAGTTTTTTATTATTATCCATCTTTCTCTTCTCCTTCTCACCCTCTCCTCTCTTTCGACGACTTTTGTTCAAAACTCTTGGAAATATATACACCAACTCGTTCCCTCTCAACCACAACAACAGTCAAGATGCATTACACCAACGCTTTCTTGGCCTTTGTCGCCATGGCCACCTTCTCTGAGGCTACCGTCATCCGCAGCAAGTTCCCCTTCTCCAGCAGCCTCACCCGTCGTCAGAATTTCGGTGGTGGTGGCGGCTTCGGAGGCAACGGCGGCTTCAACAATGGCGGCTTCAACAACGGCGGCTTCAACAACGGAGGCAACAACGGAGGCAACAACGGGGATAACGGGGCAACCGACAACGGGGCCACCGACAACAATGCCTTCCAGGAGACGGATGACAACAGCGACGACAACAACAACAACAACGACGACAACAACAACAACGACAACAACGGCGGTGGCGGCAGCGCCACGCTCGACTCCAGTGTCATTCAGGATGCTTCCGCTTCGGACGGTGACCCCGATCAGGGCGCGGGCGAGTCTGCGTCCGCCACGTGAGTTTCCCACCCCTTCCGCTTCTGCCATTCCCACCCGAGAACCCCAGACTGACAACAACCTCTCGAACAGTGACGACAACAACTTCATCAACTTCTGCCAGGGCGAGACGCTGACCAACGGTCTGCAAAACGAGGGTGGATCTTGCAACGGTATTCGTAAGTCTCTCTCTCTCTCTCTCTCACACACACACACACACTCTCTCTCTCTCTCCCCTCTCTCTCTCCTCTATATCTCTCTCTCTCATACACACAAACTTCCTCTCTTGGGGCTTGTCCCGCACGGAGAGAATGACCGGCTGACGCACCGACAGCCATGGGTAAGATCCCCAGCAAGAACAACATGGTCTCCTCCGTCTTCACCAGCCCCCAGAACGGCGACACCATCGAGGCCGACACGGACTTCACCGTCTCGATCCAGATGTCCAACTTCGCCCCCGGAACCTTCACCAACGCCGACAACACCTACTACTCGGCGCCCCAGGACCTCGACGGCAACGGCAACATCATCGGCCACACCCACGTCACCATCCAGGACCTCGGCGATGACCTCAACCCCACCACTCCCCTCGACCCCACCCAGTTCGCCTTCTTCAAGGGCATCAACGACGCCGGTGACGGCAACGGCCTCCTCTCCGCCGACGTCGACGGCGGCCTCCCCGCAGGAAACTACCGTCTCTGCTCCATGGCCTCGTCCGCCAACCACCAGCCCGTCCTCATGCCCGTCGCCCAGCGTGGTGCCCAGGACGACTGTGTCCGCTTCACGGCGTCGGACAACGGCGGCAACAATAACTCCTGTATGTATCCCCTCACCCCCGACCCGTATATACACCCGCCGCACCACCACCTCTACATACAAGTCACCAGTGCTAACCAAGCTTGGAGGATCTCTTACAGCAAGCTTCTAAACGCCACCTCTACAAGCGGTTGATGAACCGCACACCGTAAACGTTGCACGAGGGGAGGATGCTGCCGAGCAGGAGGAGGCGGAGTACCGTTGACTTGTCGGATCAAGGAAATGACGGGAAGGATTCTGTTTAGAAGGGAATGAAAGGGGGGGGGACCGTGTTCATTTTTGGTCCGCTGATGAAATCTTATCTACCAGTTATTTTATTTTATTTTCTTACGCGCTGGTGGCGTGTGCGAGGGAGAAGAAGGCATTTACATTGCTCGCCATAGTGACCCAGCCGGATCTCCGAACGGAGGAGACAAAGAGTCCAACATGTGCTGGGCACAATTTGGTCGGATGTTTTCGCCGATGGAGAGAGGGGGTTTTTTTTTCTCGTTTACTATTTTTTTTTTCTCTGTCTCACCCTTTCCTCCCCGCTGATGTGCTCCCTGAGTGCCGAGCATATGCATTGTAGTGATGAACGATGGGTCCTATAATAAGGGAGTACCAAGAAAGGGAGACGGGAGGAGGGGGGAAGTAACAATAGAGTTTTCCGTATGCTTCTGCGACGTACCATGTGATGGTTGTGACATCTTCTGCGTCAGTATCATAATATACGGGGTTCTCCCATGATGCTGGGTCCTCTGACACGCGGAGGTGCTTGGCCCCGTCTCAACGGGGCGCATTGACCGTGATGGTTTCACATCCCGAAGTCGACGGTGCCTGGGGTCGATCTGACTAAGATAGAAGATTGGATACGGCATAGCCTATAGGTGCATAGGATAGAACAGGAACGCCCGTCGTCTGAGAAGAAGAATCACGTACGGGAGTATCGATACTCGTATACATGTAATATTAGACCACTATACACCAGTCTGGCGCGGGCCGACGGAAGATGATTCCCAGTCCACCGGCCAGGAACCTCGGGAGGGCGTCGTGGCTGGCCATCGTGATGCCGATCTAGTACCGTGCAGACCACGGGATATCTTTTACGTATCATTGTAGCCATCAGGAAGAAGAATGACGGACCCGAGCGCCGAGCATGATTATGGGTAGCTGACCTGTGATGTGCGAGGTTACGGCCTTGGGCGTATGCTGACGGGGAAGCAGACAAACACTGCTACGACCGTCATCATCGGTAGGCACGTAGGGAGGAGAAGAGGTGAAGGAAACATGATATATATATATATATATATATACTGCTATAGTACCGTCCAGCTGAGCACCGCGCGCCGCATACACAATGTCTGGCTCACACATGATGCTATCAACACTGCTCAACAGGCACCGACGCGATGCATGCCGCATCCCGTAAGCCCACGAGATATGCACTCTGGACGCCGGGATCCTCGATTACGACGACGCACGAGCCAAGGCTGTCCACGCTGACGGCACAGTTGACTATGTCGGCAACCGTGCTCTGGGCGGCCGAGTGGACGTCATGCCGGTGGGCTATTTCAGGAGCGCACGGCTCATCGGGACTGTGACGGCATGACCTTGCCATGCATCCAGCCGTTTACCACGACGGTATCCCGTTCGATCGGCTTGCCATGTTCCGTATAGGCCCGATGTCTCGCCAACGTCTGCGGTTATCTAGGCTGGGTACTCCCAGCCAACACTCTGTACGCTCGATACCACGGTAGAGGTGGGCAGGAAGAGAAGAAGAGACAGAGAGGAAAGAAGGAAAAGCAGAAGCGCTGACGATGATGATAGAAACCTCGAAGACCAGGACCTAGCTAACTCGGCCGATCTAGCCTGGGCCTCGACAATCTGGACAGTGGGCTCGTCAATAGGTTTCCCCTCCTGGCCGGACGGCTCTCGGACCCGTACGGCCGCAGGTGGATGGTACTGAGCACCACGGCGCCGAGGCCTGGTGGGCTGCAACGGGCTCGGCGCGGCCCCATCGTCAGCCTCGCCTTCCTGTCGTCGATGCCGTCTGCCGTCTCCGGCCCCGTCATCGCCCGGAGCCTGATCGTCAACACGGCCGAGGGGTGGCGGCGGAGCTTCTACATGGGGCATCATGCCCAGCCCCGCCGACCTCCGCGCTCTACTGCTTCCTCTGCCATCCGCCCACGTCTGACCAGCTGCACGTCGGCACCACACCCGTCAGGCAGACGAGGAAGCTGGACTGGATCGGCATCCTCCTGCACCTGTCTGGGCGCGTGTCCTTCCTCATCGGGCTGTCCTGGGGCGGCGGCACGTATCCCTGGTCCAGCGCTCGGGTCCTGTGCTCGCTGGTCATCGGTATCGCCACCGTCGCCTTCGTCACCTCCACGGTGTCGCTCTCGGCCGACAGGTGGGCCGCCGCCGTGGCCTTGGGCGTCGTGGCCTGCACGGCCGTCGGCTGCCTCGGGAACATATCCTACCCGGGCGTCACCCTGATCTGGGAGCCGCAGGACATCGGCCTGGCCACGGGCGTCCTGGGATCCATCCGCGGACTGGGAGGGGCCGTGGCCCAGGCCCTCTACTCCTCCGTGTGCAGCAATGAGCTCACCAAGGCGCTTCCGAGATACGTCGCGCGCCCGCGGCCGCCGGTGCCGGGCTCCCGAGCAGCTCGCTGACGTCGCTGTTCCAGGCCGTTGCCGCGGGCGGGGCCGACTTTTTCGTCCGTCCCCGGCATCACGGACAGCATCGTCGCCGCCGTGGGACAGGCCATGATCAGGGCAAGCGCCGGGTCCTTCGAGATGGTCTTCTACGCTGCCATCCCGTCCTCCGTTACTGTCCTCGTGGGAGCCTGCCTCGTGCCCAACTTTGAAAAGTATCTCACTCAGGAGGTTACAGGACAACCAGTTCAGCAAGGATCGCTCTTCTTCTGTGTAGAAACATAAGTTTATATAGGAAGAATAGGAGAAATGAGATGAAAAAAAAAAACACATGTATTATGAAGAATATCACGCTCTGTCCCGCTCGTTTACATCATGTAAGAAAAAAGTGATGCCCGCATCGTCTGTATTCTAGTCTCGGTCGCCTCACCCGAGGTCAAGTCCATCCACACTTGAGAAGTGCTTTCTCACTTTCGCAGAAATCTGTAGTCGAAATAAATCAGGGACATGTCAGGAAGGTGACGCACTCCGATCTCAAGTATCCGAACTTACCCGCAGCCTTGCGGCGTCACAGCTCCAAAGAAGCAGTCTCCCTTCACCTTGTCAACGACCTCGTTTTGATTGATAGGCGTGACGACGAGATCGGCCGAGACGAGGGTCGCTGCGCCCACGAGGAGGCTCAGAACCAGAGAGGGGAGATTCATTTTTTTCTTTGACCGGTATTCTTCCGCTCCCACCCTTTTCTTCTTCTTCGTTTGTCGACTCGTCGGATGCTTGTATATGTGGATTAGGCAGAGGTGCGAGGCTGGGACGGACGACGGGGACCTCTGGTGAAGGACGGGGATAGTAGGTGGACTGACGTTCTCTCTCTTACGGAGTTGATATTGAGGAAGAGGAGAAGAAGGGGTATAAAAGCTTTATATTCGAAGTGGGAGTTGTCAGGGGTCTTGGTACACAGCAGAATGGCACTCCCTTGTCGCATGGCGGGTTTCAGGATGCGCTGACCGGTGCTGGCTAGTGGGGCGAAGGATACGACTCTATATCGTATTACCATATCGTATTATTTACAGACTAGGGCTCACGCCTATACTCTCGCATACGATCTGTACTTGGGATAATCGGCTGAACATAGTCTTCTAGCGTAAGCAGTAAAGAGGGATGGTATGGACGGGGGGAAGCATCATCAGTACACGCATGCCGCAATGGGGGGGCTGCTGTGGTGCGAGAGAGAGCCGTGCATGGAGCGAGGCGCATCATTTCCGTCCATGCCAAGAAGCCAGGCTGGGTATCAAGTTGCAATATTTGACACCCTCCCCAAACCGATTGGAGAGATTGCCTCCCGTTCCCTTCGATATCTGCCAGACTGTCTTGTCACAACGGCACTTCCATACGCCAGGTGCACAGGAATACCGGTCGCTCTCAATGCCATCATCATAGCCTTCTTCTTCTCCGCTGATATTATGCGCGGTATCGTACACGGATGCATCTCCTCCCCTCCGCCCCCGCCTCCCCCCCAGCCTATCGTTCGGGTCTGTTTCGCACCGAGCCGTTTTTACGCAGTAGCAGCAGCGGGGGCCGCACCCTTTTGTCCCACCGGGGGGATAAAAAGGCTCATGTAGGTCGTCGTCAGGGCCATGACTAGTATCGAGCACATGTCAGCATCTCCATAGCACCTCGAAGGTAAGGAGGAAGGGGGAGAACCGTACAGGACATGCCGACGGTGAAGATGCCAGGCATAGCAGTTCCCCTCTTGGACTGCTCACTCTCTCCCAACCAGTTCTGAATGGCCACGATGAACGAAGCCCTGCGACACGCACAAATCCGTCAGCTGAGCAGCCTGCACACCGTCTGGAGAAGGGAAGGAACTGACCATCCGATCATCTTGCTGCGCGTGAACATGGCGGCCATGGGGAGCGTAGACGACAGAGAGGATGACAGGTCGCCGGGAGTCTCGGTGGCCGGAGGATCCTGGTAGGGAATGACTGGGTGCGCGAGGCGCACTCGTCAGTCGAGGTGCGAGGGAGGGAAGGAGCGCAAGACGAGGCAGTACTCACTCAGGTCGGGCCTGCGCATATCTTTGGTGTTGGGAGCCATGACTGCTGCGATGTGGAGGCTGAAGACGATGGGAGACGGAGGTGGATGGATGGGATGAATGGTGCGTGTGGGTGGATGATGGGTGGGGAGCAGATGAAGCGGCGCAATCTTGGACTCGGGTGAATGCGTGCACCGCGGGCCACGAAGGCAGCTTTCTGATTCCTCTCGATTTCGGTCACGTGCACCAGCGTGTGTAATATCCAATCCCCCACCCACCTCCAGAGGAAAATATCTCCGTCGATGTCTGCATGCTACTATTAATCATAACTATCAGAGGACCTAGGAAGGATCTGCAGAGGTGGAAAATGGTTGACGCCGTTGCTTCGTGACTTATCATCTACCAGCCATAGAGTACAGATCTCTGTGCAGATGAGGCCGATGCGATCCTACGCGTGGCGGCCTATCATGGCAGGGATGTCGACCTTTCAGTATTTTCAACAGTATTATCTATCATGACAATGCTTCCCGCCTCGCGAGCATTCGGACGTCAACGCTCCGACGGGATCAGACTCCCTTCCGACCGGGGCCTGACGCCAGACTTGGATCCCTCGATAGGCTACCAGCCGAACTCTCAAGATGGCGCCCTGCCACGCCTAGACATGCTATCTCTCTTCAAGCTTCACCATGTCAATCGCGGTGCGAAGCGGGCGGCCGACGCCACGAGGGGGGTGACCAGGCGGTGGTGCCGTTCGGGTTGGGCTGAACGCGCTCTGCGTGCTGGCCGACTTTTACGGGAGGGGGCCCTGCGTACGGAGGCGTGCGTCTTCTGCGGCGAGTTGGGTGGCTTCGTCTCCTTCCTGACCTGGCGTCGGTCTCGTCTCCCGTGCGTACAGGCCGCCCCCGAGTCTGAGGTGCAGACTCTGGCTAGTGCCCGGTAGCAGTTCCGTCTGGGTAAGAAAGCGGCCGGCCGACTGCGGTCGCTCGGGACTTTCAGAGGGGTGTGCGTACTCAGTGGACGAGCCGATATGCAGGTCGCGCATGGCCGTCGTGAGCGTCCATCAAGACATGCCGGTTTCGGGCCGGCAACCGTGCGATCTGGCGCAGACGCTACCGGCCATCTCTGTTCGGAGAAGGAAGCTCAACTTCATGGCTCCGTGCACGCTCTCCTACTGTGTCAGACGGATCGGTCGTGTCGAGCACGGCGTGTCATGCGCCGGGTGTCAGCTCTCTCCCGAGAAGTCCATTATAGGCTCCGTGAGTGAGATGTGCCAGGTGAGAGAAGGAAAGAAAAAATGCACTTCTCAACCATGACGCCAACAAAATTGGGGGGGGGTTTATGAAGCCGCGGGCAATGCATCAAACATGAAAATCCTCAATCCAGCATCTCCTTCCTCTACAGCTCCTCCTCTCTCTCTCTCTCTCTCTCTCTCTCTCTCTCATATAGCTCATCACTCCAACCTCCCTCCTCAGTCAACCCTGATGACAACCCTCCATCCGAGAGCTCCAGCCTCTCTGATGGCACAGGCAAGACAGCTCCTGTTGCTCCTACTTATGATGGCGTTCCACCCCTTGCGGGCGCACAATGCGCGCACCAGCATCTCCATGTCGGAACCAAACTGCCGCCTCCTGCACTCGAGATGCATCTTGTTGGGCAGGCTGCCGGTGCGCTTGTGGAGGCTGTGCGACCCGGACGTCGAGGCGAACTCGAACGTTCCCGTGACGGGTGACGTGGGCATCAGCTCGAACGGCAGGTCGGCGGGCGTGGTGATGCAGTCAACCACCAGGACGCGGTTGTCGACCGTCTTGGGCGTGCGGTTCTCGATGGGGCGGAGGAGGTCCATCAGGGCCGTGTCGCGCTTGGCCAGGAGCTCGGATATGTGCATGACTGTGTAGTTGTAGAATTTGTGAAGAGGGTGGCCTGGATTGACGAGGATCTGCGTCAGCATCGGAGAGACGATATATGTATATGCACCACCTCCCCCCCCCCCCCCCCCCCCCCCCCCCCCCTTCTCTTGGGAGGGTTGTAGAGTGGCGGATGAACGTACCTGCTCGGAACACGGATCGTGACCCTTTGCCGAGATTGTTGGAGCCGGACACGTCAATCTGCTGGATGGTCGGGCTGCCGGGGGCCTTGACGAAGCGCACGCGTCGCGAGGGAGAGCACGGGTACGCGGTGACGAAGCTGATGTCGTACGTCAGCGTCAGGCTGACCTCTTCCGTCCTGTTCCCCGTCACGACGTTAAAGGTCATCCTGGCCGGGTGGGCGGGCACGTCGTCGGGCAGCTGGACGGACTCGGTGCGCGGCGTGCCGACCACCTGGCTGAGCGGCGAAGGGTGGATCGTCTCCACGGCGCTCAGCAGCTCGAGCGCCGTGAGCTGGACGGATACGTTGGGCGGCGGGGTGGGGTAGACGTTCTCGTGGGGCATGGTGAAGTCTCCCGGCTCGGCCGACATCTCGGTGCTGTCGCCGACGATGGACGAGTCTCGCTCGAGTCGCCTCTTGCCCCAGATACGTGCCTTCTTGCCAAGCCTGGTGAGGTCGTCTGGATATGCAGAGCGAGGGTCAGTCCACGTTCACGATCGATATCGAGGAGAGCCAGCCGGAGGGAGGAGGATAGGAGAACTCACCGGCCACGTCCTCCACCTCGATGTTCAGCCACCTGTCGCTCTCGATCCCCTTGGGCAGCACGCTCGTCGAGATCCACCCCATGCACTCGGCAGCACCCTGCCCGGCAGCGAGCACGCGCCCGACTATGCAGGCTGTGCTCCAGAACGTCTTGCCGTGGTACAGGAAGCCGTCGCACAGGTTGGCGAACGGACCCAGCCGGCCCAGGGCCTCGGCGTCGTTCTCGAGCAGCGTGGCCATGAGGAAGTGCGAGAGCGCCTCTCCGGGGAGCATCAGGGCGAAGATGTACGTCTTGGACAGCCAGCCGGACGGGTGGAGGGCGGCGGCGACCTTGCGCCGGGGGGCCTGGATTTTCTGGTACTGCGGGTACGGTGCGCGGTGGGGGTGCGGGTGGCCCCGGTGGCCGGTCACGTCCCAGGCGCCAAAGTAGGAGGGCTCCGACAGGTTCGGGGACGGTGCTCTCCCCGCCTCCCTCGCTCCGGCCGCTGCCGCCGCCGCCGCCGCCGTCGTCGTCGTGCCCGGCACCGTGAGGCTGGGCTGGCCGGACTCCGGGTTGGCGACGGTCTTCATGTTGGTCTTGACGCTCCGGGAGATGTGGGATTCGTAGTCGTCGATGCCGGGCCACTGGATCTTGCGGGCGAAGTGCATGAGGCCGTCGACCTGGCGCTGGCCGTTGCGGCCGCGGATGAGGTAGTGGTGCGGGGCGTGGCGCAGGGTGGACGACAGCTTGCCGACGACGGAGGCCAGCCAGCCGGGCTGGGGGGCGCCGGGGGCGGCGGCCTGCTGCCTGTCGACGTCGCGGTGGTACTCGTCGTGCTCGACGACCTCGATGTTCTCCAGCCAGCTGCGGGCGAGCAGGAGGGACCACTTGAGCGACTCGGTCGCCTGGCGCTCAAAGTACAGGCTGTCGTTGGGGCGGTAGGACTCGGTGCCGTTCTGCTCGCCCTCGGTGACGGCGTCGAGGCGGATGAGCAGCTCGGTGGAGACGAGGATCTGCATGAGCAGCCAGTACTTCTCCTCGGCCCTCTGGGCGGCGTCGGGCGCGTCGTGCACGCCCGTCGGGTCCTCGAGGTCGTCGCCGCCGTCCTGGCCCCAGAGGACCTGGCCCAGCCGGATGCGCCACTCGATGCGCGAGAGGTCGATCCACACGTTGGGCGTGGCCAGGCAGCGCACCAGCGCGTTGATCTGGTTGACGAGGCTGTGGTGGTCGGTCCTGTCGATGACGGTCTCGGCCGGCCGCATGAAGCCGGCCCGCCCGCCGCCGGGGATGCCGATGTGGAAGAGGTCCCTGTACGACTCCGACGACGGCCGCCGCCGCAGGTCGTTGCTGCGGTACGCCACGCCGTTGACCTTGAGCCGGTCGAGTATCTCGTTCTCGGATATGCGCCGGAGCCAGCCGAAGGTCGACATGATGCGCTCCCGCGCCTCCACGATGACCCTGCCCTTGGTGCCGACGCTCTCGAAGCCGAACTGCTCCTCCTCGAGCGAGTCGCCGGCCGGGAGCTCCAGGGCGGCCTGGTAGCCCACCGTGCCCTTCTCCAGCCCCTGCATGCTGAGCATGTTGGGCCTCTCGTTGCACCGCACGTGGAAGTGCGCCTTGGCCGACAGCCGCCGCTGCGCCACGGCTGCGGGGTCGTGGTTCAGGTCCCGGGTGAGGTGAGGTCGCGCCGTCACACCGCTCCAGGCCTTGTCCTCTATCTGCACATGGTCGGCCAGGTCGCGGATCTCGAGCTCCTCGTCGTACGGGAAGGCCACCACCGGATGAGGGGCTCCCGCGTAGTGCTTCTCGGTCCGACAGAAGAATTGCGGCGCTCCGGAGAAGAGCTTCTCGATGCCTTCCTCTCCCAGCTTGGCTGACATGTTTGGATCGATCGATACTGATGGATGACGACGACGCTGGTGAAGGGGAGATGTATGGACAGGACCACACCACTGCATATGCGTGCGTGTCACAGTCTGTCTGTCCGTCCGTCCGTCTGTCTGTGTGAGACGGGAGATTTATGCTTGAGGTTAAGGATGAGACACGGTGAGTCAAGGAGGAATTGCCGTCCCGATTTTTCGCAAGCCTCAATCTCTCCTCTCCACCGTGAAGTCAAACTGCGCCGCGTTATGGGATATAAGACATTGAGAGTAGAGAAGAGTATGGAAGAAGAAGACAGGAAAAGATGTATAAAAAAAAGAGAGAGAGAGCTTCGGGTTTCACCCTTCAGAGTTGCATCTTTCCTTTCAATGACTTGTCGTTTCGGATGCGGCGAACTTTCACTTGGCTCGGCTCGGACGGGTGAGCCGGCCTGGTTCCCCGCACCGGGTCAGTGGATCATCAATCAGACCATTTCTCTTGAAACATGTCCTTGTCCATGACAGCCCATCAAATACCGCGTCCTTTGTTCATTTGGGTTTTTTTTTTCTTCTTTTCAATTTCTCAATTTTCTTTCCAGTTTTTTCCCCCCCCAATCATAATCCATTCCAGTACCATCTTTCAAAACGTCCATGGTTTCGGATCTAGATGAGTGGCCTCTCTCTCACATGCATAAGTGGCCAGATATACGCGGTGATACGAACGAGTCTGGTTCTGTTCGACTATCATAATCCAATATTAGGTATGGCATATCCCACCCAAATCTCATCTTCACCCGAAAACTACACTATCATCTAGGGCTCTCTTGACGGATCCTACATCGTATCGTCTCTATGACGTACTGTAGTAGGGTTTAAGCTCCACGTCCCTGTAGATCTCGGACGTGAGAAGACAGACGACGCACCGCATGTACACGTAAACATCGTTCGATGGCAGTGACATTCTTCCAGACAAGTCGCGGAAATGACGGGCTGTGCTGCCTTGATAGAAAGAGAGCGAAGAAGAAGATGGTGATGGGAAGAGATCCCGTCACCGCCTTATGGCACCGGCGTCTGCTCTGATCTCGGGTATACGACAGGTAGGTAACGTCGGGCCGCTCAAGACCTCTGCGGGTCGGATTAGCAGAGCCCCCTCTCCTGGTGGGGGATGGCATTGAACTTGCATGTGAGTAAGAGGGAAGCACCCTTGACCCTTGCCCTGCACCAGGGGCAAGTCCTTCTGGGCAACGCGTTCGTCACATCCGGCGGCGATAGACAGATACGAGCTGTACGTATAGCCCACTGCGAGGTTAGACCATGAGAGGCATGTCGTCTTCCCCATCCGCACCTCTGCGATCCCTCTGTTGGCGACGGCGATGACAGAAGGGGGACATCTCAAGCTCTGTAGGTGTCGAGCATAGAATCCCAGCGGGAACGATCTGTAGATGGTGGTCTATAGAGAGCATTTCGTCCATATGGGCCACATTTTGTCGGGATATTTCCGAACATCCGATACACCAGTCCGACTCTTGGGTATCTAGAACCCCCCGATGCTTCGGAGGAAGGAGATTGGGGAGATGCAACCTCCCTCCCCCCCCCCCACTTAGCAACGGCAGAGTTGCATGGTGCCCTGGGAAAACGATACCCGTGATCGATCGCAGCAAGCATGTATTGCATGTACACTGGGCTGTAGCTCTCTACCTGGTCACCTTCTGTGCACGTGCCCAGGCACGCAGGCTTGGATGATGTATACTGATGAACTGATGAGTGATCCGATGATGTTACCTCTTACACCCAGCCTGCAGTCACCGATGAGCCCGGTGTTGCGTCTGTGGGTTGCCGATAGCGCACTCACTGTTCCGAGCGAATCTTCGAGATGAGCAGATCAAGAGAGGGACTGGCCTCGACATCAACCACGTTGACTCCATGCGAGAGCTATGCATCAAACTGTCAGCTCAGGGTTTATAGTCCAGTCACTTGCTGGAAATATAGGAGTCTGGTCATCTTCGGTCCATTCATTTCAACGTACGCGCGGGCCAGCGACATCTACTAAGTCGCCTCTAGCCAGGGAAAAGCGTCCAAAAAAAAAAAAAAAAAAAAAAAAAAAAAAAAAAAAAAAAAAAGACACCTGGCTTTCTTATCAGTACTCTCATGAGACAAACATGGTGGCGGCAATCGACGTGAGGTGAACAGAATGGAAGGCTAGTCGGCATACGAATCTGGGTCGCGCCATTTTACCCAACACTGCGTACATACAATGCAGCTCTACTCGTATCATCGCACGGTATCGACTATTGATACAGTCTACAGGCCACCACATGTTTCGGGATAGCTCAAGCTCGTCCTGGAAGGTCTCTCGAACCGTGCTCGAACATAAAACTGATGTCTGCGGGGTGGATCGGAACCGGAACTGAACCGATGCATGCACGGACGATAAGTGACGGCACCGTTACCTGGACTCTTTCTCCACGCATCGCCGCCCATGGTATGCGGCAGTGGGTACAATACCGCAAGCGCCCGCCATCTTCCCCTCTCACCACGTATCAGAGGCACAGACCGTATATCGCGTAGGCCGCGAGACCATCATGCATCACTCGCCGGAGCACCACGAGTCATACGTGGGCAAGCCCGTCTCCCAGCTTCCTACCCCCTCCTTCATCATCAGTCTCCCCATCGTGAAGAGGAACATTGCTCGGCTCCACTGCGATGTCGAGAAGCTCGGCATCGGCTTCCGGCCGCACGTCAAGACGCTCAAGGTTAGCAGGCACATCTGCCAGCAGATCCATCCCCGAGGGCTAACCCTTCAAACGTCCCGCAGACGATCGAGGTGACGAGGATGATGCTCGCAAACGGCAGATACAGATCCGCTGTGGCGTCTACCCTGGCCGAGATCCGCGGTCTCCTACCTCTGGTCCAGGAAGGTATCCTCGATGAGGTAATTCAACCCCGGATTTCATCACTAGATCTCCATGGAGATCTAATTTTTTTTTTTCTAAAAAAAAAACAAACAAACTGACACGGGGTGGGTTGGAAAACACCAGTGTCTTTACGGTCTCCCCATCTGTCCGGGATACGTCCCCCAGCTGGCTGAGCTGCGAAGGACCATCGACATCTCATTGATGGTAGACCACGAGCAGCAGATCGATGCGCTCGAGGCCTTCGGCGCTGACAGGCCCTGGGACATCTTCATCAAGCTCGACGTGGGCTCCCGCCGCGCGGGCGTGAGCACCGGCAGCTCCAGGCTGGCGCAGCTGATCCAGCGAGCCGACAGGTCGACGGCCGTCAGCATCCAGGGCATCTACTGCCACGCCGGCCACTCGTACGGCGGCCGCTCGCGCGACGAGGCCGAGAGCACCCTCGGCGTCGAGATCTCCAGGGCTCTCGGTGCGGCGGCTCTGCTCCCCGCTGACAGGGAGCTTGTCGTCTCGGTGGGGGCCACCCCCACCGCTCACGTCATCGAGAGCATGCGCTCGACCGTGCCGGCCAATATAAAGCTGGAGCTGCACGCCGGTAGGTGCTGACCCGGTACTGCATAGAAGGCGAATGCATGCTGACGACATCCTACTCTTCTTCTTCTTCTTTTCTCCCCCCCCCCCCCCTGAACAGGAAACTTTGTCTGCAATGATCTGCAGCAGGAATCAACCACGTTGGTTGCGGAGGGAGACCTCGGAACGCGCGTGGCCATGGAAATCTGCAGCACGTACCCCGAACGCAACGAGGCCCTTGTCAATGCCGGCGTCATCGCCCTCTCTCGCGAGACGAGCGGCTACGACGGATTCGGGAGACTGGCCGGCAAGCCAACCTGGCTTCCCGTCCGGCTTTCCCAGGAGCACGGCATCCTTGCCTGCAGCGACACCGAGGCCAGGGTCGAGGACGAGTTCAAGGTCGGAGATAGGGTCCTCCTCTACTGCAACCATGCCTGCATCACTGCCGCCGCATTCTCTGTCTACTACGTCGTGGACGAGAACGATGTGGTTGTGGATACGTGGGTGCCCTGGAAGGGATGGTGAAGGCAGCGCTCCCCTCTCTCCTAGACTACACTGTATATATGGACAACGTATATACATTTTGGTGTCGTGAAAGGGGGAGGATATTGACGGGCCACAACAGGAATCAGATTGTGTGTCTCGGATTCACTCATTCACTCGACTAGAAGCTACCCAAAACCCTATTATGGATGGTTCCCTTTACAAGGTACAGCGAAAGAACAATGGTTCATATCAGTCCACATGCCGTGCAGCTCCCCCGAGACCATGTAGATGAGGTATGGGAATCGGACTGCGCCCCGGGACATACCAAAGGCCCTATGTAGCGTGCCGGGAAACCCCGTTCAAGAGAGCGGTGTCTGATGATCTGCTTCCTGGAGCCTTCCTTTCCCATCAGCACAGGAAGAGATGAAGTCCAGCAGTACCTTTCCCTGCGAGTCGTCTTCGGTTCCTATGGACAGCATGTTTCTATGAGAGCAGGGTCAATAGAATCCACATCATCTAAGCATTCGGAGGATCTCTCTCGAGAACTCACGTCATGTGATTATGACGGTCGGCCACATGGAACAGCGGGAGCGTTCCGCTAGGTCGGCTGCGTTGTCTGTATGCGTTGAGGAAGGCAACGTTTGCATCTGCAGTCTCCTTTCTGTCGGGTCATTCATCAGCTCCGTCGTCATCCACGATTGGCACTGACGCCACGCATCTGTCCAACTTACCCCTCGTATTTCACCGTGCCCACGTATGTCGGGAGTCTCCGCACATCACTTTTGTTTCCGGTAATCAGCTCAGCAACATGTTCGGTCACGCCGGGATGAGTGTCGGGTCCAGTCTTACAGGCACGGCGAGCTCTCCGGCAGACGGTTGAACAGTCCAAGCGGAGACAGAGGCTGTCGGAGATACACACACTGGTCAGTGCCCGTACGGTGCCCAGGGAATTTCGGACTGCTCAGATATGGACTTTACCCCCCACACCTCCTCTGCGTCGGAGCCAAAGTAGTGTCCGATAGCCTTCTGCCTGAGCGGCTTCGTCCTGTCAAACCAGAACGGCGCGCTGATGTAGACGACACCCGCCACGGGAGGAGACAGCGGCTCCCGCGCCGGCCGCGATGCATCTCCCGCGGCGTACAGGTTGGTGGCGACGTGAGCACCGCCCGAGGAATGGCCCAGAAGAATCACCTTGTCGACGGATCCCTTGCCGTAGCCCTCCGACGCAATGTTGCTGTACACCCACTCCCGAACAAGTTGGATGTCGTCGGCGCCCCCGGGATACCGCACATGCGGTACGAGCTGGTGGTTCACCAGGACTGCGACCTGGCCATTCTGCGCAAAGTAGTTGCCTATATTTGCCCAGCACTTGAAGGAAGTTAGCCGACTTCTCTCCCCCCCACTGCTTCTCTCCTCTTCTTCTTTTCCGTATATATATATATATATATATCCCTAGCGGAATTGAAGATGATGGAAAAAAGATAGTTCAAAATCATTCCATGTAAATGGTGTGCTCAGAAGAACGCAGCTCACCTTTTCACTCCAAGATTTATCTCCAGAGTAGAAGCCGCCTGCATGAACAAACACGACGACCGGCTTTTGCTCGCGCGTGCTGGTCTTGGAAAAGTACACATCGAGCTTGTTCCTTTCTGCCTTCCCATACGTCACGTCCCTGACGACGGTGATGTCGCCTGGTGCATCTCGGTACAGGGGCTCAAACAGCTCTCTCCACATCTAGGATCATCCGTGTCAGCGACTGCGGTCCCGGGAATAGGAGTCGATGAGCGCACGGGCGATCGCCCCCGCATTGGCGGATTCACCTCCGAATCGGTCGGGCCAAAGGCCGTGCCGTTCTCATGAATCTTGTCATGGACGGCCTCCATGATGGAGTCGGTGTAGAGCCGGGACGGATAGACAAGGCCGAGGATTCAAGGTACAGGGGCTTGGCCTTCGGATGTAGAGGTTGGCAGCACACACTCTGGTCCGTCATTCACGGATGGAGAGGCCGCAACGGAGCCCTGCCAGCGGGAGGCACGAGAATATTAGTCAGAAGAGGGGAGAGGGATCCGCTACTTGCATGATGGGACGTATTACCTTATTCAATCACCGTCGTCACCGTCGATCCGCCAACTGTCTCGGCACCATCTTTCTCTCACTCGCCTTTGTTCCGCACCCCGGCCCTTACGGTGTGGACCGGCGAAACCTGAGGTCCAGTCGAATCGGTTGACCGGCAGGGGACGACTGCCCGCAAAGGCTCAGAACTACTACTACGTGCAGTGCTGCAGAGTGGGTGTATGTAAATGGGCTGGATATCTCAACCGCAAGAAACGTCTACGTGACTGAATACATGGACATGCCACGAGAGAGCGGTGCAGCGTTGCCTGCGTGACTCTCGTGGCGAGTTGTAGACGCAGCTCACCGTGGCCAACTAGTGCTCGGTCAGACACGAGACGGACCTTGGCCGCCTTGGACCTTCTTTCTAGAGCGGGAGGGGTCTTGTTGATTGATGTCCGTCATCGAGAAATAGTACCAACCATCTGCCTGACTACCTGCCCAACGTTGAAGTGCTCGTTTGGCGTGATGCATGTGTGTGTTTGCACATAGACGTTGGGTCCACCCCGGTGTCGCCGTATGTGTGATACGGAGCATGCGCAGGGGGAAAGAGAACTTCCAGGAACAGGAATCGAAGTTCGTAGGTCAGAGAAGACGTTTCGAGTCATCTATCCGCATCGGCAACGGACAGTTTATTGAAGTTGTCATAGGGATCTCATCGTGACTGCTCCTTGCGTCGTCAATCCCTCTGCGCCCTCGGCTGTCTCATCATTCCTCTTATGCTGCCCCGCCGCCGCCCGGTCAGAGACCCGGTCAGAGCTGTGATGATACGACCTTGGCTGCGCTGTTGGCAGAGATCCCCTCTAGAGATTCCGAACGGGACATTTGGACTGCATACGACCATCGAATTACCGGTGCGGTATCTCGCAGCTACTGACGCCCATATCCACTCTCGGCTCTGCGTTCGAGATTGATGGCCTGCTTCGAATCGGTCATGGCCGTAACACGTCGTACAGGAGACCTCCACGCCGTATATTGCCGACTCTCTCTCTCTTCGTCAAAGCACGGGCACGGCTAGTCCTTCGGACGAGACAGAGGTGAGTTGCGGGTCTCGACGCATCGAGTCATAGGTGAGAGGCCAGATGCTCGCCGTTTCGTCTGTAGGCCGCACAGTTTCAGAGCACATTGCACGCAGTGCCTCTGGATTGTGCATGTCTGCCCCAGATGCGGAGAAGTAGATCGACCGCGCACGGGACATGATACCGTGCGGTAATGGAGCCCACGACTCCACGGATCCCGTGTCAAGGATGGAGGAACGGTTCGAGGTGTGTTGGACCTGCTGCTCCACGACTCCTCCGCCTACACCCTAGAGAGAGTCTGCTCGCTGCCACTGACTTCCGGAAGACCGGAAGATGGCACCCGCATCGAGAGCAGAGATGATAGACGGGTCCCGGGACGGCATCGTCGGCGGCTCAGGGACGGGTCTGGAGTGGGAACAAGATTGAACTACTGGGCACAGCAGGGTGATGGACCGATTCAATAGAGGTGGTATTATTTAGGCGTATAGGGTCTTTGAGGGTCGGCGTTTTTGGGGGTTTTCCAATGTTGCCTCATGGCAGGTGTGCTTGGGCACCGATTTGACTATATATAGAGCAGACAGGACAGTAAGACCCCCCCGCCTAACGCGCATCTTTTGCGTCTTCTTTTGTCTATCGGAGTCCGGGAGATGCGGTATGGAATCGTGCATGCAGATGTGCGTCGGCGGACTGTCGCCCTGAGTAAGCGGGATGTCGTGTCGCAGATGGCTTGTCCAAGTTCCCCAAATCAGACTACGGCGCATCCCCTTGGGCATCGTTGGGGGGCAGTATCGTTCCACCTTTGCAAAGGGCGGTTTGCCCATCCCTCGAGAGAACGATTCGTCTAGACCTCTTGTCTGAGGCTGATGACGTAGGGACTACGGCTCATTGTGAACTGCGTCGTCCTTGTACCACCCCAGAGGGCGCTTTGTATGAGGAAGGGGGGGGGGGGGGGGGGGGGGGGGGGGGGGGGGGGGGGGGACATGACGGGCCATCAGACCGGCGGGGTATCGTGGACGACGGTGAGGAGGTACTTGGAGTCGGGTACAATGACGATTTCCTGCTTCTTTGTTCGGAAGCGCAATAGCTTCAGCTCATCCTGGGGGCGTGTCAGCGGCTGCAGATTCCCGTCACAGGGTTCCCGGAACGCATCACATCTTCCCTTACCTCTGCGTCCAAATCCTGCGCCAGCTGTCCCGAAGTGTTGACGTAGTTCCAGATCATGGAGGCAAACTCCTCCACACCCTTGGACTCGCTGTCGTCGGCGGTGGAGGCCTCGTTGGAGAACGTTGCCGCGGCCGCCTCGCTCCGGGATCTTGACGTCCGCAGCGCCGAAATCTCTCCGCTCGTCTTGAGGATCGAACCTGTCGCGCGGTCTATGACGATGCTGGCCTTGACGCCGGGCTTCCTGGAGAGACGGCCGAGCTTCTCCTCGAGGGCCTCGTAACCATTGGCCTACGTGCGAAAACTCCGGTCAGCTTCATGTGACATGTCAAATGTTTCCTCCGAGCATAAGGGAGAGATGGAAGAGGAGGGTCTGTGGGTTTGTCCATTACCGCCAGAGGATTCGCCATCTTTGTAGAGCTGGGGATATCGAAGTTGCCTGTCTGGGGTTCTATCGCGTTCGTTGGAGCTTATAGGTACCTAACAGGAAGTGGGATGCTGCCTTTGGGGATGTGCTCTCGTCAGATCACGTGATCGACGACGCGACGACAGCGCTGGATGGCAATTGGGTGGGAAGAGGATATCGCAATTGCTCTTCTTACGGGATGAGAATATTCGAGCAGCTACATCTACCTCTAGGCAACGTGTTTACTCGTAGGTACTCATAGAGTTCACACCTGTACATCGCCTGCGTGTGAGGCTGTTCAACTGCACGTATACGGATACACGTACACGTATGCTGTAATATACAGGTGCATGTACGGAGTAATAGTAGTAATACATCATACAAGAACGACGAAGAACGGCGGTTCAGCGGTTTGTCCGCCGCGCATGCGCTGCAACCCCCACCACCAGTCCTTTATTCTGCCACTCAACACCGCTAAAATTTCACAGGCAGATATCTCAACCCTCATGATCGACTGTCCAAGTCAGCACCATATACACCGTCAAACCTCCCTCGTTGCGACCCTCGGTATTTCCACTCTTGATAAGCCTCATACATTCTCTGAACTGTTCTCTTACACCGTCCACAGGGACGACCGAACCGCCAAGATGGGTTCCAGCACGAGGAAGAAGAAGGAGAAGCAGCAGGATTTCCAGGTACGCCGACAGAGTTGCACGAACCACAACCGTCCCCCGTCTAATGATGGCTGCAGAAACCAAAATTCAAGGTCGGTAAGGCCAAGGCCAAGGCTTCAAACTTTACGGACACGAGCTTCAAGTCAAGAGGTATGTCCACGTCCCCGTTCCCCGTTCCCCGTCACCCCCCCCCCGGGGTCAAAACCCACCCCAGCTGACATGTTACATAGCCATCGTCATGGGCCATCAGTCCCTGTCAGCAACGGCTCCCGATGTCGCACAGCAGTTCAGGCACAGCCTATCTCTGGCATCTTCGTCCAAGTCGGACAAACAGCGCCAGGAAGGCCTCGCCCACCTCATCAACCAGCTCAGCTCGGAACCCCCCGTCAACCCTGTGGGGACGCATGCCCTCCTAACAAAGCTGCTCCCTCTCGTAGCGGACAGCTCGACACCTGTGCGCGGCAATCTCCTCAAGCTCTTCCGCCTGCTCCCCGCAGATCAGGTCCGGTACGACGTCGAGCAAGCCGCCATGTTTGTCCGCGCGGGCATGACCCATCTGTCCGCCGACGTCAGCAACGACGCCATCGGCTTCTTGGACTGGCTGCTTGCCGCCGCGGGTGAAGACCTCGTCTCGTGTCCGGGGGGCTGGGTCAAGACCCTCAACACCTTCTGCGCCATACTCGGCTGGGCGGTGTCGGCGGGGAAGGATGGCTGGTCGTCTGGTGGTCGGAGCATGGGCTCCAACAGGAGCAAAGCTTCCTCGGCACAGGCTCGTACCATCGATTCACTCACCACCTTCCTCCGCGCCGGGTTTCTGGTGGAAGAGGAGCCGGCATCTGATGGAGATGAGGTCTGGAAGCAGCTATACATGGTGCCGCGGGATCCCAACGCGTTTGCGTATCTCAACCTCACCGGACAGCGGAGGGACGAGGACGGTGAGATGTACGCTGACAGAGAGTCACGGCAACGTGTGTTCCACAGGAGGTTCTACGGCCCCATCTCAAAGGGAGCGACGGCGCTGAAGAAGGAGGGGGGTGCGCCGGGACGAGCTACCACCGTGCTGGACCAGCTACTACACAGTCCGCAGGGGATGGGTGACTACGAGCCTCAGGGGGCCGTGGATACTGAGGATCTTCTGAGCCTGTGGTAGTTGATGGACTGTACATGGAGCTATCAAGCATTGAATATCGGAGAGCAAAGAGGTTCTGACATCTGCCATGCTCATTTACTATATCGTCCTGCCTGCGTGAGAGTCGATTCAGATCTAGCAACGGGATCGCCCCTTCACCTGGTGCATACCAACGTGCTCCGTTTCTCTGAGAGATGTTTTGTCTGCTTGGTCTGTCGGGGAATGCCTGCTCTGACCAGACCATCATTGTAGGTTTGCATTCCCTGCTGCCCGGTCTTTCTATCACGCCGATGAATCCTCGGGGTTCTCTAAACTTCCATCAGTCAGTTCCCTGGTCATGAGACTGGCAGCTGTTTGGCAGCCATTTGTCGGTACCGCCTGCCGTCAAGACGCGGGAGCCCTACTGCTACAACACCACGCACCAGGCCACAGAAGGTCTCGTCATCATTCTCTCGCTGCTACGTGGAGAAGAAAGATTCACTCTTTCAGCAACCGTCTTCCTCCTCTCTTCCTTCTTCTGTCTTTTCCTCTCAACACTCTCGGTGTAATCTCACACCTTCCACAGCCCTCACCAAAAAAGAAAGCAGATTACAGTTTGCGTCTTGCCTCAACTGTTAACGGTTAGAGAAATACTCTTTCTTTTTTTTCCCATACGCCTTTGCTTGATTCCCTAGCTCGTAGAATCACGGGCCCTCTCGGGTGGTGAAAAAAGCTGACTTGGTATCTCCAGATGGCTGAAACCTTCGCCGAGGACATGAAGGTCGCTCTCAGCACCGCTGTCAAGGATCCAGCTATGGATTCGGGTAAAGCTGAGACCGTCAACGATTGGACGGACCGGGGAAACGGAGACGATCCGGTCTCCGATGGCCAGGTCGTCAACAATCAGGCTTCCGAGGCTTCTGCTCGTGTCTACGAGTGGGACGAAGAGTTCGGCGACGTGGGACCACGTTTGCCTGAGCTCGAATGCGAGCTCTTTGGGGACCCTGAGAACAGGGGCCAGGCCATTGACTTCTCCAAGTAATCGGCAAGCCCTCTCTCCATTTCCCACCGTGCTACCAGCTGACACACGAGACTGCAGGATCAGGGAAATCGAAGTCACCCAGGAGGGTACCGAGCGGATCGGCTACATCGGCAAGTTTGACGATGCTGGTCTTCACCCCGTCATGCTCGAGAACGTGCGGCTTTCTTCGTACACGAGCCCGACTCCCATCCAGCAGTACACCATCCCCGCCATTCTTCAGGGCAAGGATGTCATTAGCATCGCTCAGACGGGTACGCTACCACTTCCTCGGTCTGGCTCTGCACTCGCCAGGGGTTCGGACTAGGCTCTCATCTTGCTGACACGCTCAAAACGCAGGCTCCGGAAAGACGGGCGCGTACCTCATTCCCATCCTGAGCAAGCTCATGGGCAAGGCCAAGAAGCTGGCTGCCAAGCGCCCTAACCCCAAGACGTTCCGCGAAGGCCTTGATGATGTCAAGGCCGAACCTTTGGTTCTTATCGTCGTCCCCACCAGGGAGCTTGCCGTCCAGGTCTTCAACGAGGCTCGCAAGTTCTGCTACCGAAGCATGCTCCGTCCTTGCGTCGTCTATGGCGGCTGCCCTATCCGCGAACAGATCAACCTCCTCGCCAAGGGCTGCGACGTCCTCATCGGCACGCCGGGGCGTCTTCGGGACTTTGTTTTCCGTCCCCACTTGCTGACTCTGCGTCGTCTCAAGTACACAGTCATTGACGAGGCCGATGAGATGCTGGGCTACGACTGGAAGGATGAGATGGACCCTATTCTCGGTGGCGGTGGTGAGCATAACCGAACGATCTCTTACATTCCACTCTACATTTTTGGTTTTTTTTTTTGGTTTTGGTACTTTTCATTAGCCTGACTTCTTCCATGTAGAACAAGATGAAGGGGCTGTCCAGTTCTGCCTCTTCTCAGCCACCTTCCCCAAGGAAGCTCGCGATCTCGCCAGAGAGTACCTTGCCGATTCCCACGTCCGGTTCCGTGTTGGGCGTGCAGGCAGCACTACGGGCAACATCAAGCAGGTCATCGTCGAGACTGACCACAGCAACAGGCGCTCCGTCCTGCTCGACCTTTTGCAGGAGAAGTCTGGCATGCGAACCATCATCTTCGCCAACAGCCGCATCGAGGTTGACAGCCTCGACGACTTTCTCTGGAACTCTCGCCTGCCAGTAGTCTCGATCCACAGCGAGCGCTCTCAGAAGGACCGCGAGGCTGCCATGCGTGCTTTCCGATCTGGGAAGGCCCCGATCCTGGTTGCCACCGGTGTCTGTGCCCGCGGTGTCGACGTCCGCAACGTCATGCACGTCATCAACTACGAGCTCCCCTCCATCGACAAGGGAGGTATCGAAGAGTATATCCATCGTATCGGCATGTCCAGCTCACCGCTCCTTCTGAACTCAACCGTCAGAGTCCCCAGAGGCTAACATGAGATAGGGCGCACCGGACGTATCGGCCACCACGGAACCGCCACATCCTTCTTCACGGAGCGTGACGACGGGCTCGCGAGCGTCCTGGCTCGTACCCTGCTCGAAACGGACCAAGAGATTCCAGGATTCCTGCGCAGCTACCTCCCCCAGGGTATCACTCGCGAGACTGTCAAGTTTGAAACTGAGTCTGACTTTGACCCTGCCGAGTACGAGGCTGCTGGCCTCGGTATGGTCCAGGACGGCGCCACTGGCGACGGCGGTGCGGGTCAGGACGCCTGGGGCGCTGATACGGGTGCTGAGTCCGCCGACGCTGGCGGATGGGGTGCCGACACCAGCGCCGGCGGCGATGCGGGTATCGATGGATGGGGCACCGGCAATGCCAATACCAGCTCCGCCGACGCAGGTGGTGGCTCATGGAGTGCTTCCACACATCCCGTCCCCTCCGTGCCCTTTGCGGATTGGTAGTAAGAGACGGCAGATGGGGCCCCGCCAGTAGTGCTACGAACCAACGAGGTTCACAGCACACCATGTGGGCCAATTCAATGTTTGGGGACGATTGTTGCCAAGATCAGTGTCCCTAGCTGCGGATATGATGGAAGGATGTCTGTTTGTGAAGAGAGAAAGATAGGAAAGTCACCTATCCTTGTAGGTATGACAGAAAGAGATGTAGGCTAGTTGAAGAGAGAGAGAGAGAGAAACTCGTCCATTTTTGGAGGAGTAACAAAGTAGAAGGGGGGAGATGTCGAGAGTTGAGACTAGGTTCACAGAGGAGGGTCTATCAAGGATCATCTAGGGCCCCACGATATGATATGAATTGAGCTGGTTTACATACTCCAATCGATTCAGCTTTCTTCTGCATGCTGGTACCGGGGCTATGGAGACAAAGTCACTGATTATATCTAGCAGGGCCTGCAATGTATCAATCAACCTTCTCGGGTTCCCCCTTTTCCTTGTCGCCATCAGCCTCGACACCTTGGATGACAACCTCGGAGGGAGTCATCAGGGTATCAGATACAGGCCAGAGGTGATGGAGACCGAGGTAAACGGCAGAAGCACTCAGAAACCCATAATGCCAGACCAAGTCAGCGATGTAAGCGGCGACGCCGATATCAACCGAAGAATAAGACATTCTTGGCGAGACTAGAAGACGGCAGCACGAGCACCTGGAGGACGTCCAGCGGCCGGCGATGAAGAAGGATATATGACGGGGAAGAAGACGGCCCGGCAGAGGGCGGTGCGGGATCTTGACATGGCGGGTGAAGTCAGAGATGTCGGTGCCGACGGTGGACCAGCTTCCGGTCCGGGACGTCAGGGTCGAGACGACGAGCCGCGCGCGCGCGCGGGTCCAGGCCGGGCCCGACGGCGGGCTCCTGATCCCAGATGTCGCCCGACGACCCCGGCGAGAACGCACAGCGGCGACGGGGTGGTGCCCGCGGCAGCGGTGAGCGTGGTCAAGGCCTCGAAGACGAAGGACCACTTCAGCCTGCAGGAAACAAAGATGAGGAGAAGAGCGCCGTCACCATCCGGCACACGACGGGGGACTCGACCCCGTGGAAGCCGAAGGGCGCGCGGATCCACACCGCGAACGCCACGTTGGAGGCACGACTCCGGGGCAGCCGTTGAGCGCCACGACCACGGCCATGACGCCCGACCTCACGAGGACGCACCAGATCGCCTCGCGCCGGGCCAGGTGAAGCCTATCGCCAGCACGCTGGCACCAATCTGCCACGATTGCGCCGAGAGCCACAGTTGGGTCAAGGCTCGAGATCAAAATCGAGATCCGAATTTTTTTTCTTTTTCTTTCTCTTTTTTTTTTCTTCTTTCCCTTTGATTTGTCGGATTTCCTTCCATTTGCAGTATTACAACGACGTACAATGTCGGATAGCCAGTATCCCGCCCGATACGGACAGCGGCATCCAGATCAGACGCTCCGTCGGCGTCACGTCGAGATCGATGTTGGGTCCGCACGCCGTCCAGGGCAAACGACGTCTGATGCTTGGGCAGGGTCCATCTCGGCACTCTCTGAACTCTGCCTTCCAGCTTCTCCCCGACCTCGACCACCTCACCACCTACACGCAGACATACCTCGTCCGCGCCCGCAGCGACGTCAACGCCTTTGCTAACCATCAAGCTCAACCTCTCCGGACGGCATGGCCGGCTTCGACTTCGTCCCCCGCGACCCCGGCGACCCCGCAAGGCCCCACCTCGACCTCGTCTCCGCCATGGCCCACGGCCCGCTCGACCCAGCCTCCGACCCCGCCTACGCCGACCCCCCCGGGGCTGCGACGACGCCTACAACGGCCGGTTCGCCGCTCCCAAGACCTTCCCGGCAAACACCTTCCTCGCCAGCCAGGGCCCGAATGCCTGCCATTTCGGTACCCGCCGGATTCACCCATGATGGCCTGTCCGTAGGGCTGCGCCGCTCGTCAGATCGGAGTACCAGGAGCAACACCTCTTCGAGCTGGCTAGGAGTGTCGAGCTGTTTGTGGGTCAGAGAAGGGCGCCGCGTCTGGTCGGGTAAATACGGCGTCTTTCCTTTTTTTTTCCTCTCCTTCTGCGCAGACGAGTAGGTGATATATTCCTCTTCCTGAGCGAGATAAGTAGTTGCTATTTATTACATCATGTCTTGTTTCTTCACATCTCTTCATCCCACATGTGCCCTCTCGAAGACAATCTCCCCCCCCCCCTCCCCCCCCCTTCTCTTCTTTTCCAAGAAAAAAAAATTACATATTCTTGAGAATCTTCCCGAGGCCAGCGGCCTTCTTACCCAAGCCACCGTACCCGAGCTCGACAACGCCCTGGGTGAACCTCCAGCTCCGATCCTGATCGTTGACAGGGTACTGAACAGGCGGGGGGATGCCCGTCCGAATGCCCAGCCAGCCGAACCTGTCCTCGCAGATGCTCTTGGGGTTGCACATGCCGCGCAGGCCCTCCTCTCCGGCGAAGCGGCCGTAGCCGGATCCGGCCACGCCGCCAAAGGGCAGCTGGACGGCGTAGTAGACGGCAAAGTCGTTGACGGCGACCATGCCGGCCTTGAGGCCGGAGACGATGGCCTTCAGGGCGGGGTCGGACTCGGACCCGTGCACGGAGGCGCCGAGGCCGAAGTCCGGAGCGTTGGCAACGGCGAGCATGTCCTCGGCCGAGGAGGAGGCGGCGCGCAGGAGGGTGAGCACCGGGGCGAAGCACTCGTTGGTGGCGATGGGCATGTCGGGCGTGACATCGACGAGCAGTGTGGGCTGGAAGTAGTGGCCGTGCGGGTGGTCGGGGTGGACGTGGCGCCTTCCGCCGACGAGGAGGCGCGCACCGCGGGAGACGGCGTCGGCGATGAGCCCCTCCAGGCGGTCGAACGAGGCGTCCGACACCATGGCGCCGACGTCGGCGTCGACCCCCAGGCGCAGGCCGCGGACGCGGCCTTCGAGGCGCTGGACCAGGGAGTCGTACACGTCGCCCGACGAGATGACGCGCTCGATGCCGATGCAGTTCTGGCCGGAGGCCTGGAAGGTGCCCCGCATGATGACGTCGGTGATGCGGTCGAGGTCGCGGCGGGCCGAGTCGAGGACGATGAAAGGGTCCTTGCCGCCCAGCTCGGCCACGACGGGGGTGAGGGTCTTGGCGGCGCTGGCGGCGACGTGGTGGGCCACGGCCTGCGAGCCGATGAAGGTGATGTGGCTGATGCCCGGGTGGGAGGTGAGGTGCTCGGCGACGTCGGGCCAGCAGGCGACGGTCTGGACGAGGGCCGGGTCGTGGCCGTGGGCGACGAGGGCGCCCCTGGCGATGTCGGCAAAGTGCGCGCTCGACCAGGCCGTGTTCTCCGACACCTTGACGACGATGCCGTTGCCGGCGAAGATGGCGCTGATGATGGGGCCCATCAGGTTGTGGAACGGGTAGTTCCAGCTGACCAGGGCGGCCACCACGCCCAGCGGCTCGTACACGACCTTGTTCTTCTTGTACGACATGAGGAGGTTCGTAGGCCGCCGCGACGGCCGCAGCGCCGCCTCGCCGTGCGCGAGCGTCCACTGCAGCTTCTCGGCCGTCACCAGGATCTCGCCCAGCTGGGCGTCCACCATGGTCTTGCCGCTGTCCGCCGACGCCACCCGGCAGATGTGCTCGGCGTTGTCGAGTATGTAGGCCAGCAGCGAGGCGAGCACCGCCTTGCGCTGCTCCAGGCTCGTCGTCCTCCACGCCGCCTGCGCCGCCGCCGACGACGCGATCGCCTCGTCCACCGACTCGCGCGTCGCCGGCGCGATGCGGCCCAGGAGCTTGCCCGTCGCCGGCTCGTAGCACTGGATCGTGTCGCTGCCGTCCGCCATCCGCACCGTGGGCGGTGACAGCTGCGTCTCCTGAGACGGGTACCTGGGCGGCGGGACCGTGTATCGTCGGGGGGCCACGCGCTTCGCCGCGTTGCTGCGCTGGATCAGGTATCCTGTCACCGCCACGGCGCCCAGGGCGCACACCACCTGGAGGATCTGGCGGCTATCGTTTTGTCGGAGAGATTGACTGTCAGCATTGCGTGCCCCCCCTTCCTGCCTAGGTGTCTCTCGAGGTATCTCAGGGGGGGAGGGGTGTCCGTCTGACGGGTGAACCTACGGAATATTCAGCTCCGTCTCAGCATACGCGGCCCAACGCTCCCACACGGCCAGAATGGCAGGCACGGGGCTGTCAGTCGTGGCATTATGCTGCTGCTGCTGCTGCTGCTGCTGCTGCTGATTCATCTTGAAGTCTTCTCAATCTTTTCGATGTCTCTCCTCGTACTTTTCTTCTGTCGTCGTCTTCTCCCAAAACGCCCGCTGGCGAGGTCAATTGAAGGGAGCGATGGGTGCTGTTGAGAGCTGTCGCGGTGAAGAGGCTCCGAGAGCATGAGAGAGAACTAAGAAAAAAGAAGAAAAAAACGGTGGATAGGGGTCGCGCTCGTATGATGGGTTGATTGATAAGGAAATTACGTAGGGCAGAGTGACTGAGTGAGCTACGTAGAGACGTAGCTACGTAGCACATGTCTGCATCTGAGTGTACAGATTACATGTACGAGTTACTCGAACGAGTATGCAGATTGTACATCTTCATATTACCATTTCTGCACGATATACTCGTCTCCCTATTACTCTACAGACATACCGCTCCACTGCGTCACGAAGCATCCCAGGTCGATTGTCATCTTTCTTATTTCTAAAATACTCGTTACGCAGGAAAATACCAATATAGCAAGTTTCTTCTATAAACAAAACATACAAGACACGCGCAAAGAATCCCACTCACAACTCCCTTCCTTCTCTCCCTCTTCCTCCCTCCCCTCCCACCAAGTTGGAGCTCGAGGTAGAGCTTGTTCGCTTTGCGTCTTGTTGTAGTCGTACTTGTTGCTGCTGCAGGTTTTTTTCTTTTTTTTCCTTCGCGCTTCCCTCCCCCATGACATGCCCACGTAGCAGAGGAAGGTTATGGAGACAGGAAGCAGAAAACGCCTTGAATGAAAGAAGAGACAAAATGGAGACAAAAGGAAAGAAGAGAGGAAGAGAGACAGCTCGCAGACACCGAACACAGAGTGGTGTGAGCAGAGGAGCAGAGGAAAGGGGGAGAATGACTCGACCAAAGAAAAACATGGAGCTCGGTGATGCAGAGAGAGCTCAAGCTATACAATCATACAGTAGAAGAAGGAAAAAAGAGATACAAGATGAAATATGAAGAAGAAAAAAACTCCCAGCTGTCCGTTTCCCAAGAAAGACAAAAGGAAAGAGAGCCAAAAGTGACGAGGAGTCCGCTCAAGGAAAAAAAATAGCGGGGGTGGATTGTATGACAAGGGCGTGGGGTGGTATCCAATTCCAAAGTGTTGCTGCAAATATATATAGTGAGAATAGTAATATATAAATCGAGTCTTGTTCTTTGTGTGGTGTGTCGCACGTGTGTTGCTTGACAGGCTCTCGATTGTTTTTTGGTGTTTTGTGATTTTTTACTCCGTTCCTCTCTCAGTTCTCCGTCGTCTTGGATAGCGACAGTCCACGAAGTCGAGGTTGGAACCGGCCCTCGCTGCTGGTATTCTGGCTCGATTCCACTCGCGATAGACGATTTGCCGAGGTAAAGTCATCGCTGGCCTCGAAGCTGGGTCTCACACGATCCATCGACGCACGGATCCGGTCGTACGACGGCCTGGCACGGTCGATCGACTGCCGACCCGCCGCAGCGCCACCGCCGTCTCCCGCCGTGCCGTCTATCGACATGCGGAAGGTGGGGTGGGAGTTGGCCCCGTCGGCCGACATCCGGAAGGGGTTAGTCGCGCTGCTCGAGTGTTGGCTGTGCTGGTGGATGTTGGCCGTGTTGTGCGTCGCCATGGACGGCGGGTATATGGGACGCATGTCCTCGTCCACGCTCGTGTACGTGTTGCGCTTCCCCTTGCTGGTAGTGTCCGAGGAGCCGGACGAGTGGGTGCTCTTGGTGTCGCCACCCGCAAACGGACTGCCAGTCTCGTCCGCCTCGATCGTCGACGTCGACACCAGCACCGCCGAGGGTCCGCTCGACTTGCCCTTGCCGCCGTCGTCCTTGAGGTAGGCAAACATGCCCATGCGCTCCTGCTCGCGGATGATGTCCACGTCGTACGGCCAGTAGACCTTCTGGAGCGATTTGATGGCGAAGCGCGGGAACAGGCACATGACCGGCACGATCACGAAGACGGCCCAGAACGTGACCTCGCTGTACACCTCAGCCGCCGCGCCGTAGAAGAAGACGGACGAGTCGGGCATGGTCGTGTAGATGCCCGTGAAGATGAAGATGAAGAAGTCGCTGATAGCGATGACGAGCAGCAGGATCCAGTCCCACTGGTAGGCGTTGATCATGATGTAACCGTTGATCGCGAACACGGCCGGGTGCGCGACGTAGGCGCCGAGACGCATGCGCTCGCCAAGATCGAGACCGTTGGATGACACGGGCCTCGCCGACATGAAGAGGAGGTAGGGAATGAAGAAGACGATGACAGACTGGTACATTCCATCAAGCATGTACATCCTGCGACGGTGTTAGCTCAGAGAAGAAGAAGAGAATCAGAGTAGGGAGAGGACATAGACGGGACGGAAGGATAGACGAAAGACAAGAAAGAGAAGAAAAAGAAGAAGAAAGAGAAAGAGAGGGAGGGAGCATACCAAAACTTCGTCTGGGTCCACTCGAGACGCTCAATGCCGCGGCGGTAGAGTTGCGGCACCGCCAGCGACACCTTGTCCGAGACGTCCTGGTCGAAGACGCCGATGAGACCGACGGGGAGAGAGGTGAAGATGAGGTTGAAGAGGAGGATGTAGCTGTAGTCAAAGAGGTAGGTGATGTCGAAGTCGCAGTAAATCATCCACCAGAAGATGGCAAAGGTCCAGACCATGTTCTTGTAGAAGAAGTTGCTTATACTCTCGGCGAGACGGCGGTACGACCAGCGGCCGTGGACCAGCACCAGCCTCTGCAGGAAGCGGAACTGCGCAATGGCGTAGTCGGACGACATGGCAGCCTGTCGGCCCTCGACACCGGCGATACCCACACCGACATCGGCCTCCTGGATCATGGCCACGTCGTTGGCACCGTCGCCGATGGACAGCGTCATGACATCCAGGCCGTTCTTGACCATGGACACGACGGCAGCCTTCTGCGCGGGGCTGACACGGCAGCAGAGCACAGACCGGCACTGCTTGCAGAGCAGCAGGAACTTCTGCTTCAGGCGGTCGCTGAGGACCCAGCGGAGGGTGAAACCGTCGACGACGACGCCGTGGGTGGGCGCGGGGGGTTCGTGGTTAGCCTTGGCGGCGGCCAGGTCCTCGTCGCCGCCCGTCAAGCCAAATATGGCCAGGTTGCGGTCCAGGATCTCTTCGGCCTGGGCCACCAGGGCCTCCTCGTCGAGCTGCTGGTCCTCGTTCTCGTCAATCTTGATGTGGATCAGGTCCATGGAGTTGTCGAGCAGGTTGCACGAGAATCCGATGTTGATGGCCGTCTCCACCTTGTCGCCAGTGAGGACCCAGAGCTTGATACCGGCGTCACCCAGGAGGGCGATGGTGTCCGGCACACCGTCCTGCAGGCGATCCTCGATGGCAGTGCCTCCGATGAGGTACAGGTCCTGCTCGATGAGCTCGGCGGCGGCCTCGAGCTTCTCCTCGCGGTCATCGATGGCGGCGGCGGCGGCGTCGTGCTCCTTCTTCCAGGCGCGGTACTCCTCCTCGGAAACGTCCTTCTGGGCGATGCAGAGAGTGCGCAGACCTTCCCTGGCGAAGAGCTCGAGGTGCTCGGCGGTCTCCCTGCGCAGCTCCTTCTGCTCGCCTTTGCGCAGACGGCCGTAGATGATGGAGTCGGCACCCTTGCACAGGAGCTTGATGCGGCCGTCGGGCATGCGGATGATGGAGCTCATGCGCTTGCGGCTCGAGTTGAACTCGATGGTGTTGAGGATGCCGTAGTGGCGGTCCTCGCCGAGGACGTTGAGGTTGATGCCGTCGTTCGAGTAGCCGAGGACGACGAAGCCCATGTCTCGGGCCGTCGCCACCAGGGCCTCCTCGTCGGGAGACTGGGCCTTGAACTTCATCTTGGGCGGGTCGTCGAGCGTCCTCTCGGGGACGACGGTGTGGCAGAGGGCGAGGGCGAGCATGAAGGCCTCGTTGGCGGCCTGCTGCTCGGCACCGGCCTCGCCGGCCAGGTCGGAGACGAAGTCGGGAGCGATGAAGGTGACGTCCTCGTCGTGGAGGTAGGGGTTGTCGTTGATCCTGCGGAGACCTGCGAGGGCGCGGACCTTGGCCTCGGCGATCTCGGCACGAACCCTCTGGGCCTCAGCCACCACGTCGATGCCCTCGCGCTTACGCATACCGGCCTGAGCCTCGGTGTAGGCTTCGCCGTAGGGTTGACCGTTGATGGTGGCCTTCTTGAACTCCATGACGTTCTGGGTGAGGGTGCCCGTCTTGTCCGAGAAGATGTACTCGATCTGACCGACGTCGTCGGAGATGTTCCAGGACTTGGGGATGCAAGGCTGGTCGATAGGCTCGTAGTACATCTCGACGTCGCTGTAGATGAAGATGGCCTGCAGGGTGCGGACGACCTCGAGGGTGATGTAGAGCGAGATGGGGATCAAGTTCTGGAAGACGATGAGGGCGGCGAAGAAGGTGATGAAGCCGCTGAGAGCGGCGCTGCCACCGATAGGGTCACCTTCGAAGAAGGAGAGCGAGGCGCCATCCTCGGCCCAGGCGGCGCCGTTGACCAGAGCCGAGACCAGGCACATGGCGAAGAGGATGCCGAAGTTGCAGATGACGTTGAAGTTCATCTCGCGGGCGATGCGGGCGCGCTTGCTAGGCGTGGCACCGGCGTTCTGCATGATCTTGGTGTCGTGGCCGGTAAAGACGACGACACCGAGGATCCATTCGGTGTTGCGCAGATTGCAGCCGCGGAGCAGGAGGTTGTCGATGGAGATGGGCTCCGTCATGTCGATGGGGTCGTCGGCCGCGTGGCCGGGGATCTCCTGGCGCCAGCGAATGGCACCGTTGTACTTGTAGAGGTTGGGCTGGGGCGGCTCGCTCTCGATGGTGAACTCGGCCCTCTCGCAGTCGCGGGCGTGCTTCAGGGGGCGACCGCAGCGCAGGGCCTGGCGAACCTTGAGGTTGGTCTCGCCATCCAGGTTCTTGGTCTCGACGTAGCAGGCACCGTCGGGGTCCGAGGTGGAGAGGATGATGATGTCGGCGGGGATCTCATCGTCGCTGTAGATACGCACAAAATCACCGACGCGGAGGTTCTTCCAGGTGTCCTTCTTGAAGAGGGCACCCTCGGGAGCTCGGCGGTAGTTGATGACGTCGTTCTTCATCTCATGGAGGGCGGCGGCACGGCGTTCGTCTTCGTCATCGGGCAGCTCGATACGGATATGCTGGGACGAGGGCGAGTGGACGGGTGTCATCTGGATATCTTCGGCGGCCGAGACGAAGGAGCCGGCGTTGGTGAATGGCGAGGCGTTGGGGCTCTTGCCGTGACGGACAGTCTCGACCGAGGGGCGTCCCTCTTCGCTGAGAGCTTCGAGAGCGGCCTCCTTGCGGCGGGCCTTCTCCTCCCTGGCCTTCTTGGACCATAGGGCCTGGAGGGAGCGCCACAGCCAGGCCAGGAACCTTGTGTTGAGCTTCTTGAACTTTCGCCAGAGCGAGATTTGGTCGTCGGCAATGTTGACGTTGGTCCACTTGTGGAGGCGGTGGACGGAGGCATTGTTGAGTTCGATATCCAGCACGGTCCTGCGCGAATCTTCGATGGCGTCTTTGATGGCGGTGACGGCGACGATGAAGATGAGAGGTACCATGTTCAGGGTGGGGTTATCACCACCAAAGATGGGGAAGAACTATATGCGTGATCTCTCGTGTCAGAGGGGGGGGGGGGATACTGACGGGCACCTGGGACGAGCGACGGGGCATCCGGGTGCATGGTTCTACGCAAGGCCATCTACTTACCACGAGGATGACTAGGAAGAGGAAAAAGATGTTGGCGATATTGTGGAACTGGAACCACAGGTTCTTGGGAACGAAGGAGACGGCCGTGTACTTTGCCGTGCGAATCTTGTTGCGGGCGTACGACTTCTTGGGAGCGCCGCTCTCGTCGAGCATGTCCGGAGGCAAGGGTATGTTGAAGTAGAGGGTGCGGCTGTTGTGCTCGTCATCGTCGTCTGAGGCATCGCCGTCGGATTCTGCGCCATCATCCTCTGGCCGGGGTGCGGCGGGACCTGGAGGACGGTCGTCGCCGCCTTCGTCGCCCTTCTCATCGGCGCAGGCGTTCTTCTTCTGCTGCATACGATCGAGGAGGGAGTGTCGCTTCGAGTTACCACTCCTTGCACTCTTGCGACGCGTGGCCCATCTTGCCCTATTCGGGTTGGCCCCCTTGCCGGCGGCCGAGTCTGGATGTAGCGAGTCGGCCATGGTTTGTGTGTGTCCTTGTCACTCTGATGATGATGCTAGAAGGAAAGAGAAAGGCGGGCAAGTGCCCGTGCAGCCCCCTTAGCAGCCAGCCAGCGTCGACGTTTTTGGCGAAGGGGGGTTTGGCGGTGGAATGAACGTCTTTTTTTTTTTATAAATGTGTCGATTGAGGCAACCGTCTCTGATGCCTCTTCTTTCCTCGGAACCGTTCCAATCCAGATCGAGTCGGGTTATCGGCCTCTGGTGTCAGGTAAACGGTGGGGGGAGAAAACACGGTTCGTGAGGCACGGTCGGGGAAGAAGAAAAAAGAAGGACAAGGGGGGGGAGGACACGCTGGGTCCTCGTAGTTGGACCGGATCAAAGGCCCCTCGCGACGCAGTCCAGATCAGTGTCGCTATACCGGAGCAGCGTGACGATGTATGTGTGTGAGGAGGGAAAGGAGAGGAGGCTCAGACACCAATCTTGGGGAGGGGGGAGAGATTGATGTTGGGCATATGGATGGATGGGTGAATGGTCTGGTGGGTGGTGGTAGGTGGTGGTCGGTGGTGGGTGAGGAGTTACGGACAGTAGGAAGAGGCCGAATTGGGGGGAGGGAGGCCGTCTGTGGGAAGGAGCAACAACACAAGCAACGCCCTCACCAGGAAGGAGCGGACGGGACAGAGTTGGCGCGAATGGCAAAAGCACAATTAGCGGCTCTCGGGGGGCCGCAGCCACTGTGCAGGATCATGCCGCTGGAGCCCTGGGAAAGTCCGGACGCTACGGGCAGCGGTGGGTGGCCTACAGAGGTGGCCTGCAGGCTACGGGTACGGTGGCCAGGTAACGACCCACCGGCAGCCCCTAGCCACAGCTCCCCTCTGCAGCGGCAGGCTCGCTGTAATCTGTACGGATCGCACGTATATGTACTGCCGCACGTGCTGCTCGAACTCTGCGCACTCCCCATCCATCGGTGTCGACGGTAGCGGATGATATCGCTGCCACTATTGCCATCGACACTCGTACTCCGTATTTCGAAGGGGGGTTATATTACTCGTAAGGCTCTTCTGCGGCGTTCCCGGGCCTTCCGGGCCTCTCTGCAGACGAATGGCTCTAAGCGGGCGGGTGGCTCCAGGCGGCGCCGGTGGTACCGTAGTGCCAACCACTGCGCTGTATCGGGCCAGCCAGCCCGTGCTGACAGCGCCTTGCGCATCGCATGATAATAAGAATACTGCTAGCAACTGCTAGTCGATATCCGAACCTCTGCACGTGTATCGTTACCGAGAGCAGAGCTTAGCTCTGCTCGTTACCGATGATACGCTACCAGGATAGGCGATACACCATACAGGTTAATACGAGTCGGGCTCGTACAGGCAGGCTTGTTGGACTCTCCAATCTGCTCTGGAGTTGGGACTATTCCCGTCTCCCCTTTTCGTACGCAACTCCAATACCGGCCAACTGCAAACTCTAGCCTGTGCGTGCACCCAGGAGCCATTCACGTATTTTTATTACTATTATCATCATCATTATTATCATTGTTATTATTATTATTGTCATTATTATCATCGTTACACGCGAGTACGAGTACAGGGCTACGGATACCGTGTGCGACGAGTACGCGTCTTCACATGTCCTCACACATGTAATCTGTAATCTGTACAAGCGTCAATAAGGAGGGAGCACCGCCTCCTTCCCGGTCTCCTAGTCGCAGGCCCCTCCCCCAGCGCCCGGACAGGAGGCATCGAGCCCCTAGGCTGGGGGGGGAGGGGGGGGGGGGTGATCCTCTCTGTCTCTTCCGCTCCGCTTACGGCAGCATCCTCCATCCTTGAAAATGAGAAAACCCCTGCGGTAATAAGCGTGCCGCGAGTATTGCTACAGGTACGGGGCGCCGCTAGCATTACATACGCTGCACCCGTAGCAGTGTATGCACATATACGAGCGCTCTCTGCACATGTACACTGGTAGGTGGGAGGCAGAGATGATGGAGCTGCCCGTAACCCGACGGGGTTAGGAGCAGCAGCGGAGCTGCTACCGGATTTGCATGTACTGTGTCTGTAGTAGCAGTCCAGCATGCTAGGACTGGTTTACTTCGCGAGTCTGCGATGCCGCGCCGTTGCAGCCCGCGTCGACACCAATCAAGTATCGGACGTGCGTAGCTAGAGGCCGGGTACATCTGGGGATACATCCTCTGCTAGGGTCGCTGATAAACTATTATACTTGTAGTATCGAGTCGTCATGTTTACTCCCTGTACTCTGGGGCCCGGCGCCCCCCCCCCCCCCCTTTCCCCTATTTTCCCCTCCGGTCTCGTCACCTGCAATTCTCACTGTCACTCGTTGAGTACGCACGGTTAGTTGACTCGTGTTGTCCCGCAGAAAATCTTTTTCTTTTTCCTCATATTACCTAGCATGATTAACTATGGGTAATACGGGGCAGCATGATTAATGCCATGTGAGATAACCATAGTTCTAATATATTGCTACGACTAGTAATATATATATCACTGGATACTGTGGCGGTGCCTTGGGTCCTTGTCTGTGATGCTCGTAAACGACGGTGGTCCCTGAAGGATGACAGTACGGAGTGCTAGGAGGTGACGATTCTGCTAACTCATACATGTAGAGAAGGCCAAAACAGGCAGATGCTCTGAACCATATCTGACAGGATACCATATCTGACAGGATCAAGTTTAATGATTCGACCCCGTCTCTTGTCTCAGCTTCGCGGTCCCATCGTCTGCAAGGCATGTCGCGAAGCCTGCATGGTTTCCCCTTCAGGGCATCCGGAACTCGCCAGCTCGTGGGTTTTGAATTGTATCTCTTCCTTGAGTGAAATGAAGATAAGATTGAATATAAAAATTGGAAAAATAAATGGAAAATAGATTAAAAACTTCATACTCTTTCGGCAAAGTCCAACGTGCATGCAGCTGCAGTGGTGGTGGTGGTGGTGGTGGTGGTGGTGGTGGTAGCAGAAGCAGAATCAGCAATACAGTAATACAGCAATACAGTAATGCTCCGAGGTCTCATCGTCAACTCAATACTCCGCACCAGCAGCTCATACAACCACAGAGATCATCACGGACATCTGCCGCACCGATACGACAGCGGGCAGTTTCGGATTCCGAGGAGAAAAACAAAGGTTCGACCATCACACCGGAATCCTCGGACCCGTTGTGGGGGGGGGGGCCTACTAAATTGGCAGTCATCGCCTACGCAGTGCACGGTAATATGGAGTTGAAGTAACAACGAGGATTGCCTTTCACCTTTTATCTTTCCCTCTCTCTCTCTCTCTCTCTCGCTCTCTCGCTCTCTCGCTCTCTCGCTCTGTAGATTCATCTCTCTCTCCCGATGGCTTCTGGTTGGGTGAGGTGTGCTGCCATTCCTCTTGATACATCTCCAGCCCGTGCACCTTGGCTCCCATCTAGGGATTATGAACTGCCAGATCATCAGCGGTGATCAATGCGTATTCGGAAATGCTCATCCTCGTATTGCAATAATAGATAGACCAGCACAATCGACCTGTTCATACGAACTGGTAGGATGCAATGCTCCAGTCCATTACGAATACTGCTGCTTAGAGGCGCAGAGCACGTGCTTGCAGCTGCTTCATCCTCCCGCCTTCGCACTCTTGTTTCCGGTAGTTATCCTCAATGCGAGCCCTACTCGTACACCGAGCTTGTGTATCCATGCGTAATTCTCGTATTGTGCATGTCCTCCCTAACAGTTCTATCCACCATCATTGTTATTCGACCCGTTACCCGATCGCCCTCGTCCGATTTATAGTTTTTGGTACTTGTCGAGATACTTGCAACTTGGTGTCACTCTTTCGTCAGCATGTTCCTATTCATACCACGTTCATAGTAAAGAGGCTCAGACGCTGTCTTCTCGCGTTGCTTCCCTCCATGCAGTTACAAAACACCACGTTGTCGTCTTTGGTTTCCCTCTCGGTTTCCCTGTTCAAGCCACGTCATCTTACGCGACGCTCCTCTCCCTCTCTCTCTCTCTCTCTCTCTCTCTCTCTCTCTCTCTCTTTCTAGGTTGCTATCCTCTCCTTCTTTTCTTCTAGCCCATCCGTCACTGGTGACGATATCCATGTTCAGATCCCTTTGTTCCCATACCTGCCCTGTCAAGCACGTCGTCGATTATTCTCCTCCCGTACACATATGAGAAGCTCCTCCTATTCCAACGTTGTGACCCGCTCGCGATCCACCATCATACTCCGCTTGCGTGAGTGGTGATTCCTTCTGCGTGTCGTTTTGTTGCCGATCTCTATCTTAGCACCGTTGGAACTTCGTTCCTATCTCCTCTGATCGGCGAGCCATTGCCACTTTTTTTTTTCCTTGTCTACTACTCAACGACCAGTCATCAACTCCTTAGGGGGGGGGGGGGGGGGGGTTTTCCTCGACAGTGGGGACCGCCCGACCCCCGTGGACTTTCTTTTTTTTTTTCTTTTGCTCTGTTTTTGCTTTGCTTTGTTTTTCTTTTTATCCGAGTCTAGGAGAGAGAAGCCCGTCCAGGTGAGTATGGTTCGTCAGAAAAAGCCAAGGTCATCTTCCCGCCCCAACAGGGTCATGTTTCAGGGACTCGTAACAGTCGTACGTCGTGTATCCATTAGAGTGCGTACAATGTAACATTCATGCTACATAACTCGTATGTTATTTGGAGGGGAAATACGGAGGACTAATATTACTTTTGTCTAGACACTCTAGGGGGTGAGGAATCAACCTACCGGTACGGTTTCGGTGTCAGAGCCGGCGCTGAGTAGTACTTAATAATAATATCACTCTACGTAGCCTCATACAAAGTGTACGAGCATGTACGAGTAAGTAGGTGGTATTCACTGATGTATATACTTCGAATCATCCTACATCGAACCGCCACTTGCACATGGTCCGTAGGACCACATGTCATGGAATCCCTCCCCGTCTGTCGAAAGACTCTTACAGATACACTATTAGGGAGCATCCGGGAGATGGATTTGTTCGCATCAGTGCTACTCGCAGCACGTTGATAAACATGATCACGTGGCAAGGTTTTTCTTCTTTCTTCCTTGCTCATCTTCTATTCTACCTTTCTTGTCTGGTTTTCTCTTTTACAGCAACTGGTGCCTTTCCCTTCTCCCTTGATCTTGGGAGAGAGAAAGGGAAGGGCTACAGAGTAACTAGATGAGCCCATGTAATGGTTCAGTATAGACCTTGTCACAATACCAACATCTTCGTAGTGCTGCTGCTTCTTGGCCAAGTTTTTCATCTCGGTGCAGAGATTTATCGTGTTCGCATTCACATGTACACGGGTATGAAGGTGTCTAGCATGATTCTACCTTCCTGTTATGAAAGGAAAGTATAACTAGACAGAGGGGGGGGGAAATATATTATTCACCTGAATGATAGATGAAATGAATGTCAAGTCTTATTCGATTGTGAGGGGGAGGTTCTTGCTTAGAACTCGAGGTTCGTATACAGGGTAAGTAAACTATCCTCACGACGACGTTTCCTGTCTTTGGGGGTAGGAAGAGTGAAGTGTGACTCGTGTGATTTTGGGAGACAGAAAGAAGAGGGTGTGACAGAACAAAGCCACATAAGATAGATATATGTGGTGCAATGCAGAAAAAAAAAAGCAGGTGCGGGCTCAGCTGTAGCATATCACAGCGCATCTGATGCACATATCGTTTGCAGATGGGGCATGGTAGCATCACCAGTACATAGATATCGGCAGTCATTCCTCCTATTACGGGAAAGTATCTGGGTATAGAAGTCGTGTAGACTTATATTAGACTAGCAAGACTAGATATCCGTGGAAATGGTGTAGTCTCCGTTTACCGTGGGTAACACATATGGAATAAAAAAGGGGGGGGGAGGGGGGACTCGAAAAATGAATATTCGCCCTATATACAGATGGATCAAACCATCCGTGCAAAGATATATCAAAAAGGGGGAAAGACAAGGCAGGACAAGGCGAGACGAAGACAAGGCGGGAAGCACCGATGAAGAAAGTAGCGGCTATAAACACGATATCGTGATTATATACTTCTCGCTCTACCCATCCCGTGCACACAACGTCATGACTCCAACAGAAATAGGACGTCTAGTCATTGTACAACCAAGGCCGCAACAAGGCCTCTCATTAATCGTCGTTCGAGTACTCGACGCTATGCTCGATGGTCTTCGGGATGCTCCTACCCCTCCCATCGCTGCCCCGTCTACTGCTACCGCTGTCAGAGGAGTCGCCCGTCGCCACGCCGGTGAGGGTATCCTCCTCGCTCCCGTCGGACGAATGTATGCGATGGATGGCATTCATGTGGATGGCGCCATCGGACTTCCCGGGCACGCTGCCGACCCCGACCCAGGGGCTGGTGTTGCCGCCGCGCTTCTGGCTGCTGGCGGCGTAGCCTGTGTCGCCGTTCTGGCTGGCCGAGTACCCGTTGTCGCTGCGCAGGATCGGGAATAGCTTGATGATGAAGAGGCGCAGGGTGGGCAGGCAGGCGCAGACGATGGAGACGTGGGGTTCGATCATGGTTCATACGACGTTCTCGATGTCGTACGAGCTGTCCGGTGTGGTGGCAGATATGACGAGGCTGGCGATGCGCAGGCACGACTGGATCGCGACGAGGATGCCCAGGTTGAAGACGGCGGCCAGAGCCACCTTCTGCTGCCAGGGAACCTAAAGGCCCACACGCCAGCGGCATCGGCAGCGGGAGGATGCTAATGCTCGTGGCGATGAAGAGGCCCGCGTTGGCGTACCAGAACTCTGTGCTGTCGACGCAGTGGCCCGGGAAGGAAGGGTCTGCCTTGCGGAGCACCCTGTCGACCGGCATGCACCGGAAGGTGGTGGCGAGCGTCGACGCAAGGCAGCAGCACCCCACCGCCCCCAGGAGGAAGAAGCACGCTCAGCGGGACCACTACACCTTTCTGAAGCTCCAGAGGTACGGCAGCACGGTGTCGAGCTCGGCCAGGTCGATGGCCGCCTTGTAGACGGTCTGAGCCATGCAGAAGTACCGATAGTTGACCGGGTCGCCAGCGTCTGCCATGCTACATACAGAAAAGAGGACTACGGGCGTGAAGAGAAAAGAAGACAGACGCTGGCCATCTCGAGTAACTTTCGCTCATCAATGGGAAGCCAGGGAGACGCAAGCGCAAAGCGACGGTGGCAGGCCTGGATCGGACGCAGGTTGGCGTACGCACGCACGTTCTCGTGGGCAAGTTGGCATGCGTGACGGCGCAGGTTGAAGTCTTTGACTGACGAGAGCTGCCAGGAGTAGATCAATTCGATATGCCACAATCGGTAGGCCACAGGCAGTATGCGCCACAGCATCCGATGGATGAGGGTACAGCACACTGCGACTCCGACGACGGAGAAACCCTTTCTCCATCCGATACGGTGGCGTCATCCAAATCAGTCACGGCCAGGCATCTTGTTGCCATTCACGATCTCCCTTGTTCCTTGCAAAACGCATGAAACTGACACTTCCCGACGCTGCCTTCTACTCGCTTCACGACTTTCCTTCTACGTCTCTCATCAACCGGCATCACGTATCTTACTGTACGCCCACCACGACATCTACGCTCTTTTGCGATCATTCTACTCTTCAAGACCAGAATGGAAATACAAGCACCAGATCTCAACGCGGTGGCAGGGGCCCTGATCACGATTTCACAGTAGGTGGCTCGCGCTAGCAATTTGCCGGCTCTAGACAACGGCACCCGAATATCAGAGATGCAGTGCAGGATGTCAGGGGCATCCGCCAAGAGGTGCGGAGTCTACGAGACGAGACACGATGTGAATTCCAGCGAGTGGACGTGCAAAACATGAGGAGGTAGGTGTACGAGTATACAGGAGAGACCAAGGGCTTAGAGAGAGAGGACGGACCGTATGCAGGGACTGGAATCTGCCAACTGCGCGGGAGAATGCGTCCGCCATCACGCCAGACGGCCCACTGCAGCCTCTATGGAGCTTGGAGGCTGGAGAAGTGATTACGCGTTTGCCTCAGACGCCTCAGCAGTTGAATCGACCGTCGTGTACGTGTCAAGGCAACAATGGCGTCCATGACGTGTGCTCGGCGTTCTGATACCTAGAGGGGCGCTCGTGCTAACTATACGCTCTTACAGCGACTGAGGTGGACCGCATCCTCGGTGCTCTGCGGATGCGGACTATGGGGTCCTATAGCAACACGCAGAAGGATGCTGGCGCATTCGTCCGGGCTTACAACACGCTTCGGGCCTCGTTCTGCAATAGCGTCTGTCCTCATCCTGATCTATGCTGCTACGGCGCCTTCTCAACCCGGTTTATCTTACTATACCACGTCATGGGCGGCGCAAGGTATAGAGACAATCGAGCTATGCTTCATACAGACTCTGTTCATTATCTCTTCCCGGTGCTGCCAAAATGCCCGAAGCCGAGCATTACGAGCTACGAGACTTCACCTACCACCACGGCACCACCGCCCCCCTCGGCCCGCCTGGCCTACCCTGATTTCAACCCTGCCGTTACCGAGAATGCGCTGGCGACAACCTGCTTCAAGGGAACGCTGACCCAGACGCTCTATCACGCCACCGGTGCGCTGCGTGCCCACACGCGTCATTGCCGTCGTCCTCTTCGGCAACGGCGAGTCCTCCGGCCCCTCCCAACGCATCTGGCTCCCCCCGGTTCGTCGACTACCGCGACGTCGTCCGCGCGGAGCGTCACCTCCTGACCAGCATGGGCGATGGCACGCTCGAGACTTCGCTAAAGCATAATAAGAGGTGCTGCTACTGCTGCTGCCGGGGGTACCGGTTCGTCGCGTGCGGGTCGAGGCGAGCGAGAAAGAGGCCATGGTCCGATTATGGACGTATCAGCGAGCTGACTTGGTCTGCAGAAGATTGCTCGCAGCCAACCATGATGAACGGGAGAACGACTGGAAGGGCAACTATCCCACCATCTACCACCCGCCCCGCCTGCTTTCTAAAGCTCGGCGGGGGACGGACCAGCGGGTGTCAAGGCGGGCCTGATACAATATCATCAATGCGTAGCCGACCCGCCATCTAAAGGTGCTAATTATGGTCGACGTCGTATGAGATAAGCTATATAGAGTAAAAGCGAAGTAACGGATGCTACGATACCTATCTCGACCATAACAGTGTAGTCGACCATTTACATATGCTGCCGATCCCATGGCCATTGATTGCATGCGTCAACGTTGAAGTGACCGTTCGTGATCATGGCGGCGCTGAGCGGCATGACCCCCTCCGTCACATCACTCTGCCCCAGGCCGGTGACGACCTGGGCCATCCCTGTTTCCCGGCATCATCTGGCATTGAGGGTATTCCGACGCTCGGGGTATACAGTCACGGTTATGACCACACCATAGACGTATGAGATGCTCATCATCCATCACGTCAGACATGTTCTCACCACATATATCTGTCTTGCAAATCCTTCCGCCTCTGCTGTCCTGACCATATTATGTGAAGCAGCGTGAGGTCTGGCGGCCTCACGTCCTAGTCTCTTTCCGGCGAGAGCTAGGAGCTGCCCAGGTGCTGATCAGGAACTGCTCAGGCAGTAATCATGTTCAGGCGGAATCAGATCAGGATGCTGCACAAGGGAAGGAAAGTCTGAAGGTCGAAGGTCGAGATTGGAATCGTGCATCTGAGCTGCCTTCGCCTCACAACCACGTCGTCGACATTCGCCAAGATCGATACGCCAGCCAGTGCAGTCTCGAATTTCGCCAGTCCATGTACGTTGCATATATGTACCAGCTGTGCGAGTGAGTTGTTGCCGCTTTTCTTGCCTTCTGTCGAATATCAAGGATGTACTCGTGCTATATCCGTCCGTCCTCCCCTCCCTTCAAGATGTCGTAAGTGTCCGACCTGGTCCACATTCGTCCTGGGCTTATTGATGTGCCATTTCGGTACCGCCCTTCATTTCTTATCTATTATAGTGATTGATTTATAGCGATGATGTAGTCGTGCGTGTGTGTCTGACAGGTTTTGTGTTCGCAAGGTCGCACGGTCGCAAAGGGGGGGGGGGGGGGGGGGGGGGGGAGGGTTGAGGGCCAATGGCGCTGTGTCACTGACATCTTCACATTCTCAGACAAAACATACAACACACGCACACACGCACGCACGCACGGACAGTCTCCCCGCCTACGATCTGAAAGGAATGAGACAAAAAGTCATGTGATTGTGCCACGGACTCGACTAACACCGTCAGAGGGGACGGTTGCGCCGCCTATCGGCATCCGTCACCAATTTACGTCGGAGAAACCCTGTATCATGGCGTTGAATCATGTCCGTTGGCCCTATACATATCAGCAACATGCACTACCGCCTATACTCTGCGGTGCTGGCCCTGACGCATAAGTTGTAGCCGTACAGCACGAGTGCGTCGGTACGTGGTGATGTCGATATCAAATATCAAGGTACGTATCTCTCCCGTACAAAGCTATCGGAAGTCGCCCTGGATATGATGGACTGATCTGAAGCCAGATACCGACGTCAAGGAGAAGGAGATCGAGATTGGTATTGCTGTTTATTGCAATAGGACTCGTAGTGAAAGGAAGCAGTCCGATACAACGTATTGCACCTCTGTACTCATAGGGCTCCCGGTAATCAGACGGGTAAGAAGCCAGACAGTCCCGGTGGGTGTCACCACTTGCCTGATGGCGGATCAGATGTCCGAGGACTGCTCCCGGTCTCTTGAAAACTAGGGTGTGCCGGGGAGTACGCATCTCTCTCCTCTCTCTCTCTCTCTCTCTCTCTCTCTCTCTCTCTCTCTCTCTCTCTCTCTCTCTCAGACAGGAATTGTGAACTCTAGGTACCTCTTATCTTGCTCGCCGGGAGATCCAACTTGGGATAGTGCTGCGAGTACGGGGGATCTAAGTCTGCTTGTGATATGGGTCAGTGAGATAGGTGGCAAGGTCTGCCGATTAGTGGCGAAGTGGAAGCGATATACTTGTGTAGTCGTGAATGCACCGGTGACGGATGTATGCGTATTGATCGTTGTCTCCTCATCCTCGATTTTTATCGAGGGAGGGTGACTTTATGTGACCTTTCTGACCCTCTTTGCCCCGCTTCCGTACAATTCTCCCAATGGATACTGACAATCAGTACGACACACGACACATCGTACGATATGCTCCAACACCTGGACAGGACCTAGGCAGAGAGGGAGAGGTGGGGAGGGGGGGGGGGGGGGGGGGGGTGAGATGATGTAGCCTGTGGGACATGATGTAGATGGAAAACAGTCAGTAGAGAGAACATTCTCTGGTCTGTCTTCTGCCAGGGGTCATTGGCGCCGCAGCCACGGAACCGCATGTCTACTTTGTATGCCCAGGTCGATCTGTTGAATCTCTTCAGCAACTAGGCTCCGTTGACCTTTGCACGCTCCCTCTTTTTGAGCACTCTTCCTGGACCATCCAGTAGTTCTTCCGTGACTGATCGAACCAGGTCTTGTTGTTTTCCTGACTTGGGTCCCTCTTCCCAAACCTTGCATATGTATATGTAGCAAGGGAGGGGAGGGGGACGAAGCAGCTGTCTGTCACCCACCACCATCACGATTCAGCTCGGTCCCATCGCCTCTAATATGCTGCTTTCCTTATCCTCTCTCTGACTTGTGGTTTGTTTCTTGGTACTTTCACTGAGTGCATACTTTGCGCGCTGCTCGTCAGCGTAGATCTTTTACCATTTTGAGTACTTTCCCTTGTCGACATGCCTTCCTCACACACACACACTTCTCCTTCTCCTTCTCTCTCTTCCTCGTTGCGACCGTTTTTTATTTTATTTTATCTTATACTTTTTTCTCTTCTCTCAACCGAGCTTTTCGCGTACGTGCGTGTATCAAGACTGAAGGTGAGCTTGAGAGGAATAAAGACAGTCTAAGAGAAAGAAGAAAAGAAGAAGAAGACGAGTAAAATGTCAACGTATTCTCCTGCCAACGATGAGATACCTGTCGATGCGGGTGGAAAGGCCGTTCCAGGGCCGCAGTCTGCTTCGGACGGTCCTGACGGTCCAGGCTACATAGACCCCGAGGCCGAGGCAAGGCTGGTCAGGAAGCTCGACGTGGTCGTCTACCCCGTCTTCTTCGTCATCTATGTCATGTCTTTCCTGGACCGGATCAACATTAGCAATGCCAGAATTCAGGGGATGGATCGGGATCTCGACCTGAGTGGTAATCACTTTAATGTGATGCTGTTCGTAAGTGTCATCCCCTCCTCTTACCATCCTCGAACTAAAGCAAGACGGAAAAGAGAGAGGCAGGAAGAAGAAGAAGAAGAAGAAGAAGAAAGGAGAGAATAGAAAAAGAAGAAAAGAAAAAAAGACGAAAGAGGTAAAAGAGAAGACTGACAGAAGAGATGGGGCAGATCTACTACGTGCCATACATCCTCCTCGAGGTCCCCTCCAACATGGTGATCAAGAAGCTACGGCCATCCCTGTACCTGTCCAGCCTCATGTTCATCTGGGGCATCATAGACATGTGCATGGGGTTCGCGCAGTCGTACGGGGCCATGGTGGGGCTCCGATTCCTCCTGGGCATGTTCGAGGCCGGCGTGCTCCCGGGCATGGTCTACGTGTCGTCGATGTACTACAGGCGCCACGAGCTCCAGAAGCGCATGTCCCTGTTCTTCTGCAGCACCGTGGTGGCGGGCGCCTTCGGCGGGCTCCTGGCGTACGGCATCTCCGACCTGGGCGGGCGGGCGGGCATGGCGGCGTGGCGGTGGATCTTGGTCGTCGAGGGGGCGGCGACGGCGCTGATGGCCATCGGGGCTGCCTTCGTCGTCATCGACTGGCCGGAGCAGACGCGGTACCTGAGCGCCGAGGAGAAGCTGCTGCTGGAGCGCCGCATGGCCGCCGACCTGGGCGGCCGGTGCCGCATGGACAGGCTCGACGCCTTCTCGCGGAGGCTCATCTACACCGACGGCAAGATCTGGCTGGGCGCCCTGGCGTACATGGGCGTCGGCGTCCCCGGGCTGTCGGGCACCTTCTTCCTGCCCACCATCCTGGGCGAGTTCGGCTGGGCGGCCGAGCAGGCCCAGATCCGCACCATACCCGTCTACGTCTTCGCCGGAGGCACCATGGTCTCGTCGGCCTGGCTGTCCGACAGGCTCCGCCACCGCTACGGCTTCTTCGCCCTCGCCACGGCCATGGTGACGGTCGGCTACGCCATGCTGCTCTCGTCCGAAGGGAGGTCGCGCGGCTACAAGTTCGGCGCCGTCTTCCCCATCTTCGGCGGCGCCTACATGGTGACCCCCATGTGCCTCGGCTGGCTGCAGAACAACCTCTCCGGCCACTGGAAGCGCTCGTTCGGCGCCTCCGCCCAGGTCACGATCGGCAACGTTGCCGGCATCATCGGCGGGAACATCTTCCTCGAGCGGGAGGCTCCCGACTTCCCCACCGGATACGCCCTCGCCCTCGCCTTCATGTGGTTCGGCTTCGTCTGCGCTTCCGCCATGGCTCTCCTCATGTGGAGGGAGAACAAGGCTCGCGAGGCTGGTGAGCGCGATGACAGGCTCGGCTATCCCCAGGATCAGCTTGAGAACATGGGCGACTGGCATCCCAGCTTCAGGTTCACCTTGTAAGAGGAGAGGGAGAGGGAGGATGTGATGCTGCAAAGGTTTCCAAAAATGAGAGAAACACGCGCCTCCTTCCTTAGCAAAGGAGGTTCTTCTTTCCCCACTCTTACTTTCTTCTTCTTCTTCTTCTTCTAGTAGTAATCCTTTTCCTTGGTCCGGCAGCTTCCTGTCCGGATGGAAGTGGTTAGCATAGATAGACCCTCTATGATAAGAAGGAAAAGTCTATCGGAGCAAGAATACAGCTCACATGCACGGCAAGCTCATCTCTTCTCCACCCTTCTTCGTGCTCAGTGCTTCCGGTATCATAGGGGCCCGGCCGGGTGAGAGTCGACTCGGATCGGCAGGGTAGAGGAAAGGCCAGACACATGGTTCATGGGAGAAAGCCGAGTAAAAAGAATGGAGCCCTCCAAGGATCGATCTAGCATTTCATGTTTTTATCTCTCCATGTTTTTTATTCATTCATTAATATCTACCTCTTGTTTCTTTCTAAAATTTTCCATTCATCTTTTTCTGTACTTGTCCTTTCCATCCTCCTCGAGCAAGGAAGAGAAAGATCGACAACTGTCGTGCGCCCGGGTGGCTTGCCAAGGCTTGCATGGGTTTGAGGAAACGGTCAGTTGTCATCTCAGTTGACAAGAGAGGCTTGTGGCCCGTCTTCCCCGGTGGCAATGCGTATTTGGCGTTTCCTTGAGAATCCTCACATCCTCCTCATGAGAAGAAAGAAACAGACGAGGTGTCGGGAGTGGTGGGTATGACTACATTTTTTTTTTCAAGAATCCCAGCTACGCTACGATACGATGCATATACCAAGCCGCCAAGTTCAGCCTTCGCTCTAGAATAGTCAATGATATACTGATACTTCTTGCAGTTCACTAGAGTATAGTAGGATGTGATATCTGAAAACAAAAGCCCCCTCTACTTTCTTGAATCTTTCCTCCTGCTAAAACTAGCCCCTACGTACCAAGGCAAACGACGTCTTATGCAGAAACTGGCCCCCACACAACCTATCCTCCTCCTCCTCCCTCCTCCCTCCTCCTCCCCACCCACCACACCAACCGGCCGTCCTTTACGTGTGCAGAGTGGTGGGGAGGGTCGTTGCGGTATCAGCTTGTCGACAGTAGCGTGCGAAGCGAGCAGCTTGCGTCAGTGTTGTGGATCCGACGTTGCCTCTCGTTACCTGTTAGTCTAGGCTGTCATGGGAATCTTCGCGCGACACTGACAAGGGTCTACTACTACTTCTGTCTCGCTCACCTCTCTCTCTTCTGGCGAGGCATCTCTCCTCTTTTGGGGGGAGCGGGAGGGGGAGGGGGTTGTCTGTGTGGAGCAGAGTCCTGCCATGAACAGGGAGAATCTGGCTCAGAAAGAAAAGAAGAAGAGAGGAGAGGTGGAGAGGAGAGGAGAGAAGGAGGAGGGGGGAGGAAGAGGGACTCGTAAACCCGGCCGGGTTGTTTACGACATCGCCTGCATCACCATTGTAATCATCTGCCCTTGAGCTGCCTTGGAAGCCCTGGGCTGCCGCATCTCCGTCCTCCCTTCCTACTCTGTATGCATCGAGCAGTCATTTCTCCCCCCCCCTCCCCCCCCCGTTCAACCTTCAAATGCTCTTGCCCTCCAGATTGGCATCGTAGACAGTTTCGAGGACCGCTTGCGCACCAGGAAGCCATGCCGTATACCACGTCGACGGCCTTCTTCGAGGCCATTACCGACGCAGGCATCACCCACTGCTTCGTCAACCTAGGCTCCGACCATCCCAGCATCATGGATGCCATTGTCCGTGGTCAGAGGAATGCCAAGGCCAAGTTCCCGCGCATCATTACCTGTCCCAGCGAGGCGAGTCTTTCTCTTCTTCTTCTTCTTTTCTCCTCTTCTTCCTGCATATTCATGAGTATCGTTGTCATCAATCTACATGTGCTGCTGAATTGAATTCGCCACACACTCATGTACATACACATATATACATGCCACTAGTATCATATGAGAACAGAAAAAGAGAGAGGAACCCCCCCCTCCCCCCTCCCATAACATCAGCAATGCTAACCTAACCTGCCTTCAGATGGTAGCCATGTCCATGGCCGACGGCTGCGCCCGCGTGACCGGCCAACCGCAGTGCGTCATCGTTCACGTCGACGTGGGCACCCAAGCCCTGGGAGCAGCCATGCACAACGCGTCGGTCGGCCGGGCCCCCGTGCTGATCTTCGCCGGTCTGAGCCCCTTCACTCTCGAGGGCGAGATGCGCGGCTCGCGTACCGAGTTCATCCACTGGCTGCAGGACGTCCCCGACCAGCGAGCCATCGTGTCCCAGTACTGCCGGTACACGGCCGAGATCAGGACGGGCGTCAACGTCAAGCAGATGGTCGCCCGGGCGCTGCAGTTCGCCACGAGCGACCCCGAGGGCCCCGTGTACCTGTGCGGGGCGCGCGAGGTCATGGAGGCCGAGCTGCGGCCATACACGCTGCGCCGGGAGCTCTGGAGGCCCGTCGAGATGGGCGGGATGCCCGCCCACGCGGCCGAGGAGGTGGCGTCTGCGCTGGCGGGGGCCGCGACCCCCCTCCTCATCACGGGGTATTCGGGCCGCCATCGCCTCGTCCCCGCTGCGCTGGTCCGGCTGGCCGACACCGTCCCCGCCCTCCGCGTGCTCGACACGGCGGGCAGCGAGATGTCCTTCCCCGGAGACCATCCGGCGTGGCTGGGCCTGAAGCAGGGCGCTCCCGAGGCCCTCGTGGCCGAGGCGGATGTCATCGTCGTCCTGCACTGCGACGTGCCCTGGATCCCCACCCTGTCTAGGCCAAAGGCCGACGCGCGCGTCTTCCACATCGACGTCGATCCCCTGAAGCAGGGCATGCCGCTCTTCTATATTGACGCCGAGGCCCGGTACCGTGCAGATGCCCTCACTTCCGTGCGGCAGATCACCGCCGAGCTGCAGCCGGGCCGGGCCGCTGCCGCCGCGCTGGCTGCCCGCAACCTGGATGCCGACAGGGAGGCCCGCCGCGCCGCCTACGCCGCCAAGATCGAGGCCATCTCTGCCGCGGCCAGGCCTCGCGACGACGGATCCTTTGGCGCGGGCCACCTCGGTTCCGTCCTGCGCACCGTCTGCCCCGAAGATACCGTCTGGGCCGTCGAGGCTGTCACCAACACGGGCCACATCCACAACAATATCCGCCCTACCAGGCCGGGCTCGTGGCTCAACTGCGGCGGCGGTGGTCTGGGCTGGTCCGGCGGCGCAGCCTTGGGCATCAAGCTTGCCGTCGATGCTCGGGCCGGTGGCAAGGGCCCCTTTGTCTGCCAGGTCGTCGGCGACGGCACGTATCTCTTCTCCTTCCCCGGTAGCGTGTACTGGATCTCGCGTCGGTACGGCATCCCCGTATTGACAATTGTCCTGAACAACAAGGGTACGTTCGTGCCTACTTCTCCTCCCCCCTCCCTCCTTGGATATGCCAGCTGACGGTGATCATTGTAGGCTGGAACGCCCCACGGGCCTCGTATACCCTGATCCACCCCGACGGTGAGGGAACCCGTGTCGGCAATGAAGAGCTCAACATCTCCTTCGCCCCCGTTCCCGACTATGGCGGAATTGCGCGTGCCGCTGGAGCCGGCGATATCCATGCTCTCAAGGTGGAAGACTCGAGCGAGCTCGAGGCCGTGCTCGAGGACGCGGTGGCCAGAGTGCAGGCGGGAATGACGGCAGTCGTCGACTGTCGCATCGTTCAGGGAGGCTGAGGGAGGGAAGAGGAGAGGAGGGCTGGAGGGTGCGGGTAGCGAGACTTGCCAGCGTCTATGCCCATGATCGGTCCAACGTCTGATCTATTCATCCTCTCCAGGTGCCCACGGAAGATAGCGGCACGACGGTTCGTAGGAGAGTGTGAATCCTACTCTACGCAGCCTCATCCTCATCACGATCCCGACGGCACCCTCTTCGTCCTGGCACCACTTGTCCCGTCCCCAATCCTGGTCAGACTCGTCCGGCCTGCGGAATCTGCATTGGCCAAAGTCAACCATGCAGACTCGGTACCCCCCCTCCTCAGGAACGACCATGAAGTTGTCAGGCCTGACATCGGCGTTCAGAATGCCCTTGTCACCCAGGAGACGGGTCACCCCGACGGCTTCGTCGACAATGCCCTGCCACGAGCCCTGGGGCGCCTTTTCCGTCATGGACGACATGGTAAATCCCGGGAGATATTCCAGTAAGATGCCGTTGATCTTGAACAGGGGTCCGCTGTTTGCGGCACGGTTGAGAGGAGGCGACGGCGATGTATCGAGGACGACCTTTGCAACAAGGCGCGGGATTTTGGTCCCCTGATATTCGCGTAAGCGGGCATAAGCCTCGGTTTCGGCAGTGAATAGCTTGCGTAGCCCGTCGTCTAGGAAGGCCTCGTTCTCCGCCTCCTCCCATTCTTCTTCCTCGTCTTGCCAGAAGTCGTCCTCGGTGTGGAGGCGGTGCAGGAAATGCTCCGCCTTACCGGTCAGCACGCTCTCCACCAGCTGATCCTCCACGCGCTGTGACCACGGCCCACGCCCGTTGTCTTGACGGTGTTGGTGCGCAAATCTCCGGTCAAACATCTTGAGAAAGTACTCCTGACCGACCCGCAGGCGTCCGGGGTTTGCGTCTGCAACCTCAACTACCATTCCGCAGGAGAGTGTCCATGGCTGACTATGATGCTTCACCCTAACTCGCAGCTCCGATTGCCGTTCGATGGAAGCATCCGGTGACTGCTGGCATAGAGGGGCGTCGTCGATCCCTAGCGTCAAGACTCCGCTGACGGGATACGGGCGGACTTGGGCTTCGCTCTGTACGTCTGAGGACAGGGTCGTCATTTCTTTGGAAGCTCAGAGAGATGGCGGCTAGATGCTGAAGACGGAAACGTTCTTGGTCTGCAGAAGGAACATGAAGGGAAGAGCCATCATGTCTGACAAAGTATGAGTCATGTATGCTATTATCCGCACTCCATGGAACGCATCGCTATATGCAACCACTGCGATGACAGAACAGAAAAACGCAGAAGATGAAAATGCTGCTGATATTCGATGCCCACCCACTGCCCTGTAGTTTATCATCATACCTTGAATGGACCTTGTTGCGTAAAGCTAGGATAGAAGAGATTAGAAGGGGGTATAGATTACAGACATGTGCCGACATCACTTCCTGAATCGGGGAGTAAACCATCGAGCCTCGCCGATAATACTACTGCAGCTACACCTCCACAGCCATCTTCTACATCACATGTACTCTGTGACCTCTTCGTGGAGCCGCGACTCAAGAACGGCGACAGATGGACCAGCGACACCATCCCTATCTTGTCATATCTGCGTAGCCTCTCTGAAGTGGTGCGTACCGCTACGAGGAGTAGTATCATGTGGTTCCCGTCGTGTAGGCGTTACATCGAAGGGCGAGGTCGATCTCTTGGCGGCCCGTACCAGATCACGCAGCTGATGGGTGATGAGAAAGAGGTAGAAGATGTACGAGGCTGAAAGCTACGGAGGACGCGCGTATGCTGCAGAGGCAATCAGTGGCATCTGCTCCCTACTGAGAGCCTGAGGCATATTTCAGGTTGAAGATGGTCAGCCACGCCGACGGTGATGCGGCAGCTGGTGATTGACCGTTTGCATCGAGGTAGCCTGGGTAAGATGTAGTAGGTATGGATAGCAACAGTCATCTCGGTGCAAGAGACCATCACGAACCCCCCGCTCTTACTACGGAGTAGAGCCGGCCGCCTAGCGACAGCAAAGTCACCAACTGCCAAGTTCTAACTGCTAACGATACGGAGTACGGAGTACGGAGTACATGCACCAACAGTATTGCATATTATTTTATTCTATCATTACGAGGCGTGTGTACGGAGTAATACCTCACAAACTCGGCGTCAGAGTACAACACCTGATTAAGAACCTTACCCCACCCCTCCACTCCTCCACCAAGATCGCGTAGATCGCGTCACACTCAAACCCCCATCAGACCAACGACGCAACTATCAACTCGTGCGCCTTCCTCGCAACACGAGGGGCTACCCAACGCCCTCTCCACCGAAAGCCGACATGCCGCCCAGAAACGGCCCTTCGAGCAGTAACCGAACGCGCCCCATAACGAGCTTCTTCAAACCGAGCCCCCAGAAGGCGCAGCCTACACCACCGCCGCCGTCGTCCCCATCTCGCGGCGATTCGCCATGCCCCGCCAACGACACCCTTGCAGCGGGAAGGGCGTCACGGTCTAGCCCGACGAGCCTCCGCGCGCCCTCCTCGCCACTGCAGCTGCCTTCCTCGCCGCTAGGCACACCGTCGCGCAGCATCCGCAGACCTGTAGCCCGAGATGCCGTAGTCGCCGCGTCGGACGAAGACGACAGCGAAGGCGGCTTCTCCGACTCGGATGACGACCTGGAGGACCTGATGGCGAAGTTCGACCCCAACAGGCTGAAGAAGAGCACGACGCCGCCTCTCGCGGCGGCGAGGAAGAACGTGCCGGGCCCGGGCCCGGGCCCTCTCGAGACGCCCAGGGCCAAGCGCACAGACACGGCCATCCACTGCAGCATGCTCTCGTCGCCTCTGACGCTCAACCCCAAGCGTACCCATCAGTTTGACATGGGCGCTCTTATCGAGGACGCCATGCAAGACGACGCGACGCATGCCAGTTCCCTGAAGAACAGGTTGGCCGTGGAAGCCGCTGCTAAAGCTGCCGCCACTGCTTCCGCCGCCGCCACGTCCTCACGAGACGCGGTCCTCCTCGGCATCGTCCGAGACGGCGATGACGGCCTGGACGCGCAAAAGGTCCTCCGGGCCGTGCAGAGGACATCGCACGGTCAGTCGCCAAAGCTACGGTACTGCTTCTTCGCAGCGGACTACGCGCCCCCGCCGCCGCCGCCGTTGCCGCCGATGCCGCCGATGCAGGATCAGGGGCAGAAACAGGTCGGGGCGGCGTGGGCGCCTCTGACGCATGCCAACCCCCGTGTGAGGGAGCAGTATCTTGCCTCTGGCCTGCCACAGACCATGGTTGACAGGATGGGAGGGGCCTTCCTGCCCGCAGCGCTGTTTGACTGGATCCTCGACGACTTGTGCGTGCAGAAGTCCAGGCTTGTCCAGCAGGAGTATGTCAGTCTGCTGAGCTGCTGCCAGGAGCATGCGCGGGTCAGGCTCACTCCCCAGCGTCTGCGGCGGCTGTTTGCCAGGCTTGGTGCTCGCGGCGATGGCGATGACGTCGAGATGTCGGACGAGGGAGAGGAGGGAGGGGGGCCGTCGCCGCTGCCACTGTCGAACCCCCCACAGGATCCGTATCTGGATAGGGACTGGTCGTGTGTGCGCTCGGTTATCGAGCTGCTGGGCCTTTTGTCCTGCGACCTGTCGCCCGAGTCTGTCGCGTTTGCCACCAGGACGCTGCTCCGCATGTCGGTGGATAGGTTTCTGATATGCTCCCCCGAGGTCCTGCCCGAGTATGAGTACAGCATACAGCTACTCGTGGAGGCATTGCCGCCTTCTTCGTGGGATTCCTTTGTAAGTCGTCTCGAACTCTCGCTCTCGCTCTCGCTCTCCTTCTCCTCCTTCTCCCTCCCCCACTCCCTTCTCCTCTGAACAGAGCGGTGGCCAGCCTAGGCATTAACGATGTGGTCTGCAGTGCGCCGAGACGATCAAGATGATGTACGCCAACTTCACTGCCCAGTCCATCCGTATAAACGCCCTCCTCTGTCTCCCCATCAGCAATCGGCGTACCCACGAGCTCCGCAGACGGTTAGCGGTATCATTCTTCTTCGACGACCCGACCCTAGGAGGCCACCACCCAGACACAGTCGTCAGCGTGCGCCGCGTGATTGACCGTCTAGCCATCGGAGACGTCTTCGCCGTGACCTCCAAGACGGACTTTGACGAGCTGCGGGCCGGCATCCTGCTCCTCAACATGGCCGTCGACGACGGGTCTCTCGAGGCAGCCTCGGCCACCGCTGACGGCAGATGGGATCCTGATGACGAGCGACGCTTCAATGCCGAGGTGGACGAGCTGGCCACCATGCTGCGCGAGATTTGGAGGAAGATCAATGACGCAGGCATGAAGCTGTCGCGCACGGAGGCCAAGAGCGTCATCGAGTGGGTGCAGCAGCGCATCTCGCACTCGGTGCGGACGAGGAAGAAGGTCAGGAAGAGCGTATTCGACTCGGTCAGCCGACCCGAACGTGATCCTTTCCTACCGCGGCAGCAGAATTATATGCGCAAGTTCCTCGACAGGCCCGTGTCAAAACGCGTCGCAAGTTGATGCGCACATCAGGATCCAAGGTGCCCAGCATCTGGGTACGATCCACAAACACACACACACACGATGTATATAGAACAGTTGGAGGAGAGAGGCATTGGCAGCGGGGGGTTTTTTTCTTAACGACTTTATGGTATACAGCCTTCTCACCAAGCTACAAAAAGCACACAAGATGGCTCAAACAAACAACGATAGAAGAAGAGGGCAGATAATAACCAAGAAAAAAAAGCGATACCCAGTACTAGGACACTGACTGCTGCATACGACCGACCTACTCCGCCTCCTCCCCCTTCCCTTTTCTTGGCCAAGAATGCGGTTTATGGACAGACAAAACAAGAAAAAGAAGATGACCTAGTCGAAGAACTTGCGGTTGGGGTTCTTTCCAAACAGAGTCTCGCGGACGGCGGGAGCGGCGGATGACTTGAGGAGTTCCAACCGAGCCTCGAAGGTGTTGTTGACCTCGATCTTGCCGGCACCGCCAATGACGATGACACCACCGGCGCTGAAAGGGTGATGGTCAGTTAGTGGCTTTCTTGCTCTGTTTCCCAAGAATTGGATGCCGCAAGTTTGTAGAATGATAGGATGAAGAGAAGGAGCATAGAGAAAGATACACTTTCTTCTTCTTCTTTTTTTGTACATGAGAGGGTGAGAAGAGAGGAGGGAAAGGAGGGAAAGCGTACCTGTCCTGAGGAAGAGGGTCCTTCTCAATAATAGAACCCTTGATATCTTTACCCGTCTTCTTCTTGTACTCGGCCTCAGCGTCGGAGAGGGCCTTCTTGGCCGTGTCGAGGTCCTGCTTGCGGGTACGGATCTGGAGAGAGGGCTCGCTGAGGGCATCGAAGCCCTCGAGGATGAGACCCGTGAGGGTCTTCTGGTACTGTCCCTTGTCCTTTGTACCGTCGGCCAGCTTCTTCTCGGCCTCCTCGAAAATACCGTCGAGGAGCTCCTGGCGGGCGGCCAGGACCTTGAGGCGGGTCTTGTTGGCAACGACGGAGCGCGTCGTCTGCTGCGACATGGTGGCCTGCTTGAACTTCTTCTCGTACTGGACGTCGATGTCGTCCGTCTCCTGCCTAACCAGCTTGGACTTTTCAATCTCAAACTCCTCATTGGCCTTGATCTCGATCTCGCGGGCCTTCTCCGTAGCCTCCTGCTTGATGAAGGCCGTCATCTTGCGGAGCTCATTGTCGACCTAGAACCGTAGGACGAGAAGGGGGAAAACATCAGTACCAATTCTTTTCCTCTCCTTCTCACATGATTCTTCGTATATCCCTCATCGTACCTGCTGGTCAGACAATGCGTGTTGCGACATGATGGCGGTGGTATTGAGGAGGGGTTAGGCTGTTCGTGCGGGGAGGTAGAGGTCAGAACGACAGGAAGAAGGTGGGCGGGATCGGAAGCGGGAAGAGTCGAGATGATAGCACGAGCTTTCTACCTTTCCCCAACGGATGTAGACGATTGGGGGATGCTCGTCGGTGGGCGGTATCGGATGGGCTGTTGGCAGGTGATTAAATCCGGCTGATGACGATGATGGAAGTCAGCCAGCTGGGTTTCCCAGCTCTCCCTACACTGCAGGGCCGCAGATCAAGCCACGAAGGTGAGCTCAGCCACACATTACCCAGCTCACCACAAAGCTGTAACGTCAGCCTCATATCACGTGATCCTCTCGCTTTCTCAATTGTAGTACCGATTACTGATTACTGATTAATCTGTACACTTCCCACGCAAGCTCGGACCTACTATTAATGCGGCGACGCCAGATGTCACAGGGTCCCCTTGCGCTATTACGTTCCAGGACCGCCGCTGAGCGAAGCCACAGCAGACGTCTCACAACCTCACCAACCTTAGAGTCTTTAACATGCTCTAACACTATTGACCACAAGACCCACGATTCAATATCTGTCGACTTTGTCCCCCTCGGTCCACTCCGAACCATATTCTGCCTCGACAGAACCACCCGCCTCTCTGTTTTTGTTCTGTCTTCTTTTTCTTCTTCCCACAAAGCCCAGCCTCGACACCCTCGAACTCTTCCTTTCAGCAGACCGCTGCTCCGATACTAAGCGATCGATATCGACAAGACGTCACAAGTGATATCAGTGCACTCGCCGTCAGCCGTCCCCCCCCACCGTCCTTCGCTTCGTGTGACGGCCCTCCCTCACATACCACCTAAGCTTCCCTCCTTCGCCAGATGACTACGCGTCCAAGTACGGCGTGATGGGGCTGCCGGGCGGTCTCTCTCCTGCGGGAGGCATAGCCGTATGTGTTGTCCCTCCCCTACCTCTCTTCCCCTGCGTTTCGTGCCTCGGCTGGAATGCGAGTGGACGACGCCCAGGCTGTCTCCCCCTTTTTTTCTCTTCTTTCTTTTCGTTGTTGACCTGAAGACATGCTGACTGCGACGATCAAATCATAGCTTGGCATCATAGTGGGAATCATCTCGACGAGCGTGCAGAGCGTGGGCCTGACGCTGCAGCGCAAGTCGCACATACTGGAAGATGAGAAGTGGCCGCACGAGATGCGACGGCCGCCGTACAGACGGAGGCGGTGGCAGATAGCCATGGGCATGTTCCTGATGGCCAACATAGTGGGTAGCTCAGTGCAGATCTCGACGCTGCCGCTGCCGGTGCTGTCGACGCTGCAGGCGGCGGGGCTGGTGTTCAACTCAATATGCGCGTCTGTCATCCTCCACGAGCCCTTCACGCGCTGGTCGTTCTACGGGACGGCGCTGGTGACGACGGGTGCGGTGCTGATCGCGACGTTTGGTGCGATCCCGGAGGCGGCGCACGACCTGGACGAGCTGCTGGTGCTGCTGGCGCGCAGGCCATTTGTGGTGTGGATGATACTGCAGGGCGTCTTCGTCGTGGCCGTCGCGGTGGCCATGGAGGTGGTGTGCGCCGTGACCAACCTGGCGCACAACAGCGGGCGGTTCCGGCTGGTGCGCGGCATCGTGTACGGCATGATTAGCGGCATGCTGTCGGCGCACGCGCTCCTGTTCGCCAAGTCGTCGGTCGAGCTGATCATCAGCACAATCAGCGGCAGCAAGCGTAACCAATTCGCCCACTGGCAGTCGTGGATGATAGTCATGGCCCTGGTGGCCCTGGCCCTGAGCCAGCTGTACTACCTCCACCGCGGGCTCAAGCTGGTCTCCACCTCGGTCCTGTACCCGCTCGTCTTCTGCGTCTACAACATCATCGCCATCCTCGACGGCCTCATCTACTTTGACCAGACCAGCCTCATCTCCCCGCTCAGGGCGTGCATCATCGCCCTCGGCACCTGCATCCTCCTGTCCGGCGTGCTGGCCCTGTCCTGGCGCCTGAGCGAGGAGCAGCACACCCCCGGCGTCGGCCAATCATCCCTCGCCCCCGGTCTCGGACTCGTCGAGGACACCGAGGGCGAGGACGATGACGACGGCGACGACGACGGACGCGGCGAATCATCCTCCCTCCTGGGCTCCGAATCCGCCATCGAAGACTCGGACGCCTCCGGCTCGGGATACCAGACCTTCCCCCCCGTCGCCCCCAACGGCACCGAGGCCACCTTGCTGACGCCCACCAAGAAGAAGGGCTACCGACGGGCCGAGCGGGCCGAGATCTGGGACGAGCTGCAGGACCAGGACACCCCCACATCCCCGGTAGGTCACCTCCGCCCGAGCACCTTACCGGGTCGTCGCACCCTGTCCGGCTCAGCCTCGGGCCCCGAGTCGACACCCCTCATCCTGCCGCCCACCTCGCGCAAGGCCGTCGGCAGCCAAAGACCCGGCCATGACTCTGCCGTGCCGTCCTCGCGCCATCGGCGGAGACGCAGCACCGGATTCCCGGGCCTCGTGGCGCGCAGGAACTCGCGCAGGAGGGGCAGAGGCGGCGACTCCTCCCCCTCCCTGTTCGAATCAGCCGGCAGCATGCTCCCAATCAGATGGTGGAGGGACTGGAGACTCTCATCCTCCAGCAGTCCCGGTTCAGGCGCCGCTTCTGAACCTCTCCCTCCCCCCCCCTCCTCCTCCTCCCCCGCCGCGCCATCATCCCCACTAGCACACAGGCATGCTGGCAATACTTCTGTCGGACAGGAGGAATCACGGGGTGACGAACACCGTGGTGCTAGTCACAGGAGACCAAACGACTCTGCAGTGTAGTTTTTTTGTTTTTGTTTTTTTCCCTCCCCTCTCATCTCGTTTTTTTTGAGCGTGTACCGAAAGTTTTCCTTCTTCTTTCCACATATCCTCTGATCTATACCATTTCCTATCGTCCTCCCTTTTTCTTCTTTCCCCCAGTAAAAATGACCAGAGCGTGCTTATGAGGTTTTTTTCTCAAGACTTGCTGTGCGAGATGATTAGGACTATTAATGTTTCGGATGATCACCGTCAAGTTTTTCCCAGTGTTTAGTTTTTATTTTTGGACAAGAGCGTCTTTTCCATGGTTTTTTTGGGGAGGGTTTTTTTGGGGCTTTTTCAAAGTATACCTTACAATATACCAAGCTTTTCTCCAATCATATTTGCACATGAAAAATCAATATTAAAAAAATAAACAAATTCTTTTCTTTAAAAGAAAACATTGATAGAAGCCCAACCAAAAAAAAAATCATGTCCAAAATAATAACAGGGTAACCCAAAAAGAGACTGCCTACCAAGTAAATTTAAAAGTTTTAAAGAGAAAAAAAAAAAGAATTGGAAAGCGTTCGATATCATGCTCATGCACTTTTCTTAATAATAATAATAATAGTAATAACAAACAAGGCTCACATGACAGAAGAAAAAAAAAAGAAAGGGCCTGTACGTGTGAGTCCTGCAACACACGTACATGCTGGCTTGTTTTCCTACCAGGGAGCACTCTTTTGGTCCAAGTTGCGGTACCAGATCTGCTCCTTGCGCTCCTTGGAGAGGCAGGCGAGGGCGATGATGAAGAGGAGGTCGATGCCTGTGCTTGTCAGTCAGTATGCTACTCCTCTCTCCTCCCTATTTCTTTTCTGCTGTGTGTGTGTGTGTATGTGCGTATGTATGTGTGTGTACTCACCAACCATGCCAAAGAGAGCGGTAAACATGTCGCCAAAGAGGATAGTGGCGAAGCTGGCGACAGACGTCTTGCAGCCGTTGAGGAGGGCAGCAGCAGCGGGACTAGGGCAGGTGTCGTCGGTGACGAAAGGAGGCCAGGTGGAGTTTGTGTACCCGCAGCATTGAAACTGTCGACGTCGGTTGTCCGAGTTAGCAATGAACTTGTCAGATCCCTCGGGACGATCTCCTCCTTCTCCCCCACCCCTGTCGCTGTTCGCCCTCTGTCGTTCGTGGGAGTATCAACATACGCTGGTCTGGACCAATTCCTGCTGGTTGGAGTCGAGATCGACATAGACGTTGCCGAAGTTTGTGCCGATCTTGAGCGTCATGAGCCAGAGGTCGACACCGAGGATCAGGCTGAAGAGACCGCAGACGGTAACCATGTAGCCGGCCGCCTTGAGCCACCCGCGGGTGGTGGGCATGAGAAGACCGGGCAGGGTGGCGACGAAGGAGGCGAGGATGAAGACACCGTTGATTATTCCAGGGGTCAGAGGCAGTCGCTGATCGACGAGGTCACGGATGACGTCCTCTCCATTGGCGGGGTCGCGGTTGCCTCTCTGCTGGGTGACGACGGAAAAGGCAAGCTCGAGGATTCCGGTGGCGAGGAAGAGGATATCGGCGACGATGACGACGATGAGAAGTTTGTTGGCCATCGTTCCTTCCTTCTTTCTCTTCTCTCTTTTTTTCTTTTTTTTTTCGTTTATATGGTAGGATCGAATATTGTGTCGGCAAATAAAAAAAAATGAAGAAGAATAAAACCGGTAAAGAGCTGTCAGGGAAGGAAGAAACAAGATGGAATGAGCGTATCCGATCCCGTTCAGGTTCGAAAAAGAGAAGGTCGGTTCGGTATACTGATTCTCTGTATTATCGCGGACACGCTCATGCAAAGACGGCCAGCCGTCGAACTGTCTGCTTTGGAAAGTGAGTGAGCTGCACAGCAGTCGGGTGAAAAGGAAGGGGAGAAAGAAAAGAGAGTATATGTAGAAATAAAAGAAAAAGAAAGGAAAAACAGAAAAGAACCGGGAGGAAAAGAAGCGAAATGGAGAGCAGTAAGAGATAAGAAAAAGAATAGGAAAGGAAATAGAGAGAAAGAGGGAAAAGTGAATGCATTGGTGGGCGAACCCTGAGTGGACTCCGATATGATTCCCGTCACGAGAGGCTTGGCTGCGGCAAAGCTGGAGACGGGAGATGTTTCAGGTCGTCGCGGCGGTTAGGCGGCGGCGGGCAGCCAAGAGCCAGAAACCAGTCAAAAGGCATGGTCGGGGGGGGAGGGGTGAGGGAGTGCTGTTATTGAATATTGGATTTTTATTCAATACTATCGATTGCAAATACTCGTATATGTACGAAAAGTAATAGTCATGTAATATGAAAGGGAAAGAAGAAATGAGGGTGGTTCAAGGTTATTTGTTTTTTTTTGTTTTTTTTTGCGTGGGTGTGCGTGGGTGTGCGTGCGCGCATCTGAAGGCTTGATAATGAGCAGTTGGTGTTGGGGTTTGAGACGGAAGGAGCCCATGGTCCGGACAGTGTGGTTCGTTCCTTCCCTGTCGATTCTGCCCCTCCTCCTTTGCCCCTGCCACTCGACCGACACTCGACCGACACTCGACAGTCAATCGGGTTATTTAGCTCTTGAGAGGGATGGAGGAGTAGGTAATCACCCATGATACTACCCAAAACGCAGCCCAAAACACGTAGCAATCATGCCCCTTCCACACATTGCAGTGTGCTGTCCGGCTCAGACTGACGATGGCTTCGCGAGATCTTTTCCTCCCCCAATCTTCGGATTGGCGCTACGTGTAGGGCGCCGACCTCGAGTACGACGCGATAGATCTGTGTGTGTCCGTGTGTGCTACGCATCCGCCCGCCGTAATGGTGTGTACGGGTAGAGGTGCTGATAGGAGTTTTCGATGGTAGGTTTTCGATGGTAGGTAGCAGTCTGTACAGATCACGGAACACATGTACGAGTAATAGCGGATGAGTGCTGGGGATTCGCTGTCCTGTGCTCGGAGGTTGCCAGGTAATGATAAATATTGATGCTTGATCAATATTGATACTTGATCAAGGTGCTCCCTTGTTCATATTGCCTGAAATATATTATATGCTTACTATATAGCACATTATATACTGGCACCATCCGGTAATACTCGTCGAGGTAAGCAATATGCGCTGTGGGCAGTAGCATTGTACTGCGAGTATTGACATTGACATTTAGGGGAATAACACCGCTCGTACGATTGTTCGTCTCGTTGATACGATGGAATGGCAAGTACGGAGTACGGAGAAATATATATATATATATATATGTACATACTCGAGTAAGCAGACCAAGATAGACAAGCAGCCACATGCCGAGCCAGAAAGAGTACAGCCCTTTCTGGGAAGTGTAGCGCTTCTTCATTCGCGGACGGCCCCTAGACGCGCCTTTCCTGCTATGGAAGGGATTCGCTTTGCCGTTCGACGGTTGTCGCTGTCAGCCATAGAATCGAGGGCCGGTGGGCAGTAAACTCGTATGGTCAGTTGGTCTCACTATGCGTATCATCCTGACTCGTATCTGCGGTATTACTACTCATCAAATATCCATCTCTTCTTCTTCTCTTCTTCTTCTCTTCTTCTTCTCTTCTTCTTCTCTTCTTCCTCTGGTTTTGGAATATTCCGTCATGCGTTTGAGAGTCAAGGCTGACATTGGAGAGAAAGGCTCGAGAGACTGACTGGACCGAGAATAGCTTGACGGCACGGGAGCTACGTATTCGTACTCACGTGGGGGCCTCCATGTACGAGTGATGACGGGATGATGCTGCGTACGTACGGAGTGATCTGTACAGAGGGAATCTGTATACATGTAATCTGTAATGTCCCCCTCGCCACCGCCGCCCAGCGTCGGCAGAAACGATGCTGTCCCGATCACCTGCATGCAGCACTTCGATTAGGGACGAAAGGCGAGCAGTACCGTGAGTACTTCTGGGGACTCGCGTGGTGTACAGAGTACGGTATCCTTCTACCGCACAGCCACATGTCAACAGAGTACATGTACTGCCCGTGACTGAGCTGTCCGGCTGCACGCTACGAGTATATATATGTACAGATCATATGTATCCCGTAGACTCGTATAGAGAGAGAGCATGAGCATTACTGGTCAATGGCCTTGGAGAGTCGTTACGTCTACTGCTGCGATAGTGCTCTGCAATATTACCTGTACTTGCTACTCCCTCATACAGGTAGTAGCAGTAGCAAGTAGCAGTAGCAGTAGCAGCAGCAGTAGCAGTAGCAGCAGCAGTAGCAGTAGCGACCGAGGAATAACAATAAGCCCGACGGCTGCGGACCGTGAGGAGGAGGAATGGGGACCATTGCTGCAACGAGGAAGAGGACTCTATCTGGAATGGCCTGAGGTATTGCTTATTTCGCGGGCAATCCTCTGATGAGGGTACTCGTGCTCACATCTCATCCTACACATGCATCCATACCACATATGCACGACTCATCATCATCACCCCATCTGCATGTCTCTCTGATAGACTCTCGATGGCCTCATCCTGATGACAGCCGACTCGATGGACGAATTAGACTATACGGAGCGGTTGTCATCATCTTCGGCCTCGACGTTCGGGCCAGGGAACCTATCCGAAGAAAAGAAAAGAGAAGAGAAGAAAAAGAAAGAGAAGAAAGAATGATTTGGCCGGGGAGGAGGGGAGGGTGGGGAAAGGTGGGACTCGGAGGATGGAGAGTGGAAAAGAGGAAGCCCGAGGAGGCAAGGAGGGAACAAGTGTTCTGTCTGCCCGTACTACTCGTAGTGGTCAACCCTTTCGAAGGCGCATCGTATTATTTGCTTTATTATTACCTTGGTAGTATTGATATTACATGTACTCGTACTGCTAGTATAGAGTGCTGCTGCTAGTAGCACTAGTGACTCTAGCATCGACCCCACTGCTACGGCTGCAAGTACTCATACGAGCGGATATATCGAGGGTGGCGGCGAGGAATCGGTAGCGATACTTGCAGTACGGGTACGGACCGTACGGTATCGTTGCTGCGTATCTCTCGCTCGCCTTGTAATAATATCATATGTAGACTCTGCAGCCCCCACTCTGGACCAAGTCAGCAGGGGAGTTGATGGGGGGGGGGGGATCATTGGGCGTAATCACTGCACTGTGCTGGGAATGTACGAGCGTCGAGTAATTAGCGGCTAATGCTCGACCTGTATCACCGGTTCGTCAGCACACACAGGTAGACGACAGAACGGCCTCGGGTGGCAGAGCACGAGAGTACAGTACAGAGTGCTCGCGGTTCCCTAGGGGATCGTACAGTTACAGTTTCCGGTACACTGTGAGACCTCTCCAAGGATAGAGAGTCTGGACCAATGACGCTTCTCGATACAGTCAGATGGGGGTCCGCCACATGTAGCGGGTACTCACCGGCTATAGCCTGCAGCGCACTGTGCTCGGTCTCGCACTCGTCCAGGCTGCTGCTGTACTGCTATCATCGATACCGTCTCAGAGCATACTACCGCTGCGGACGGAGCATTGCAGAGCACATGTACGGGTACACGTATGGGTAGCAGAGGGTGTCACTGTGAGGGGTGCGAGGAACAGTGAAGGGAGTAGAGAGTGCGATGGCAATACCTAGTACTGCGAGTACGATAGCATGACAGCTACAGGTACTCCGTACGGGGGGCCAGGTAATGTCGACCATGGGACCGGCAGCATTCCAAAGGGACACCCACCACGGGGGATGCTGTGACAGCCAGATCAGGACCGTCATTGGCCCATCTCGTCTCTAGCGGCCAAACAGAGGCAAAGAAGAAGGAGAAGGGGTCTGGACCGAGTGGGTAACGAGACAACAACAGCAAGAGCAACAGCAAGAAGCAGGCCGGTACAGTACGAGTATGAACACTGTCTCCCTCCTTCCATGCCCCCCCCCCCCCCCCCCCCCCCCCCCCCCCCCTCTACACTGGGGCTGAGAGCGACTGGGTTATGTGCCAGAAAGCGGATCCTCTCAAGCGCTGGCTGACCAATGATCGTCATCAGCTTAACACTCTCGCCGTAGCTTGCGTGTGTGTGGAGGTGGAGTCGGCCTGTTGGACCCCGTCATCCGCCCATCACCCGCGCGTGGGACTGACAGTATACCTGTACGAGTAGCCTGTACGAGTTATTACTCGTACAGGTTACAGGCAAGGGAAAAAAAATTGGGAAGGGAAGGGATCCTCCCCCCCCCCCCTTTACCACCTACTCACTGCCTGCCTGCCTGTCTGTTCTGCCTTCCTGCCTGAGGAACTGAGAACTGGGTCGAACCTCTCTGCCTGGTGTGTGTGCGCGCGCGCGCGTGTGCGCTGTTGTGTGCCCTTGTCAGCGTAGCCTCGGGTCCGTGATTTACAGAAGGGAAGGAAGGGCCCCCCGCCCCAGGGCAGTCAGCACCGGCCAGGCCCCGACCAGACAGACAGTCTTCTACCAAACAGAAAAGGCACTTTCCCTTTTTCCCTCTCCGCCCTTTTCCACTCCAGATACAGTATAGATCCATCGGCACCACGCTCAAAACAGTATCTCCACCACTTGTTGCCTTTTACAGACTGCTCTGTGTGATACAAGACGATTGGATTGGAGAGACAGGCAAGCTTCGCATTTTCCCAATCGAGAGACGAGCTTTCCTCTCTTTCTTTTACTTTTCTGAGAACTCTACGGACCTGCACGCACACGCACCAAAGCCACACGCTTCTCGGCCTCTTTCTCAAAAGGGAAAGGCTGTATAGGGAAAGGAAGGAGAGGGAAAAAATAAAAATAGTAAAAAAAGACGAAGACGGAGACGAAGACGACGACGACGACGAAGACGACGAAGACGACGACAAGGAAGAACGATCCCCCAAAATGGCAGACATCACCGACCAGCACGATCAGACTTCCCCCAATGAACTCGATGAGTCTCAGGGAAATGGTAACCCTGGTGCTCCCGGCACCGGTCCTGAATCTAGAGGAGTCAAGCGACAGCGCGCCGCGCCCGCCGACGACGACGATGACGATGACGAAAAGGGAAACCGCGAGCGTCGCAAGATTGAGATCAAGTTCATCAGCGACAAGTCACGACGTCACATCACCTTTTCCAAGCGCAAGGCCGGAATCATGAAAAAGGTCAGTCCTCTCTCGCCCTGTCCTCGACGCTCTCTTCCCCCCTCCCCCCCCCCTGCCGTCCCACTCCCTCCATCTCGCGTCGCGCTGAGCGCGAGCGCGATGCTCGGCACGAGATGGCGAGGAAGAAGAGAGGGGAGAGGATCAGGAGAGCACAGTCGTGCCCGTTGATGGGTGAACGCGTCGTCGTCGCGAGACTAGCAGATTTGTTTACTGACAGACGCGCCGCGGCATCAGGCCTACGAACTGTCCGTCCTCACTGGCACCCAGGTCCTCCTTCTCGTCGTTTCCGAGACCGGTCTCGTCTACACCTTCACTACGCCCAAGCTCCAACCGCTCGTCACTAAGGCTGAGGGCAAGAACTTGATCCAGGTGAGCTGCCCTCCCGTTCCCGCGCCCAGTCCCCAGGAAAGTCCGGGGGTGAAGGCGACGCGTCAGAGCATGCACGCAGCAGAGGACAGACTTCCATGAGAAAGATGAGAGATGAAGATGCGATGGAGAGACGACGGAGACGTGCTGACCGTGACTTTTCCGTCTCTTCGCAGGCGTGCCTGAACGCTCCCGAGCCGACCAGCAACGACAACGGCGTCGACGGCCCCGACCAGGTCGACTCCCCCGAGGAGCCGCCCCAGCCTCACATGCCCCCCCAGGCCGCCCGTCCCGCCGGCATACCGCAGAACCCTCACATGCCGGCCGGCAACTACATGCCCCCCAACATGTCGATGGACCCCCAGCATGCCATGGCCTACCAAGACTACGTCCAGCGGAATCAGGGCTACCCTGGTGGTCTCCCCCCTCAGCCGGGAATGCCGCCCAACAGTCACCAGTCATAGGGAGGGGGTACAGATCAGTAGCTGTTGCTTGCGGCCGAAGAGGAAGGAGGAAGAGGAGAGGGCGGTGATGGGGGTCAGCCCTTCGTGAAGAACACCTGTTTCTGTCTTGCCATTTACCGAAAGAGACGAGATATTCCTAATATCACCACCTCCTCCCCCCCCCCCCCTCCTCCTTTTTTTTTGTCCAGGGAATCATGGATAATATTTGGCGTTTGTTATGGGGTTGATGACGTATCATTTGCATTTTTTTTGTCAAATACTTTTTTGTTCAAACTATTTGCAACTACTCGTATTCGTTTTTTTTTTTTTTGGGTTTCTTTTTTTTTCCAACTTGAACTTGTTTTTACTCTCTCTCTCTCTCTCCATCATTTTTCTCCTCATTGCTTTATCTACTCCGTATTTTGAAAGGGCCCTATATTGCAAAGAGGCCCTATTATAAAAAGAAGTCTCATGAGAAATTGAAACATATGTTATATATTAAAAAAAAAAACGAAAAGAAAAAAAAGTTGAAATCACGAGGATGGAATGCAATTGGTTTTCTTTTCGACGAGAAACTAAGGTCCAAGTTCAATTTCAACAAAGAACAAAAAGAGAACTCAAGAAAGAAAAAACAGCAAATCTAGCAAAACGAGGCAGTTGGGAATAGGGGAAACGTGGTACCAGATGATCCGATTGGGATGAACGGATTCATCAGACGGGAAGGGCCGTTTTGGCCTCTTTTTTTGAAAAAAAAAAAAAAATCGTCTTTCTTTTTTTTCTGTCGTCTTCTATCTTCTATCGCCATCATCTATTGATACTCTTCTTTATATATATATTGAACCTAAGCTATCTTGATCCAACTACTCGTACGTGTGTACGTGTGCGTGTGTGTGTACAGGATACCTAGTATCCTCCAACCTAAGTCTTTGGGGGGGGGGAGAGGAAAGAGAAAAGAGATAGCACAGCATCATCATATACAATTGTGAGTCGAAAAAGATAAACCAAAAAAATTTGAATAGTACTAGTACTGATAATCACCAGTATATACATGAAAACACACACACACACACACACAAGACCTCTAGGTCCAGGTATCCTTTCCCTTTCCCTTTGCGCCAATGTCGTTAAATGGTTCCGAGTGTTACAGGGTATGCAAATGTGAAGCAGCCAAAGCCATAGATAGAAATATAAAAACACAAACCCACCTGTGCCTTTCAAGCATCGAGAAACATCAAACGCGCGCTCCCTTGGACCCCGTTGTAGAGTTTGCCTTTATTTTCCTCTTCTCTTTCTTTCGCCCGTCTCTTCCTTTCCCCTTCTTGGAAACAAAAGTGGCAAGCATTCCTTCTCAAAGATATCTTGCAATGTTGGCACTGCCATGTGCAGGGTTACCACCCCCGTTGATTACACTGACGCCATCGTCTTCCTCGGTCGGCTCAGGTCCACCATCCTGTCCTGTCAGACGCAGCTTGTCCTTCTCCCTCTCCTTCTCCTTCTCCTCGCATCCCTTGACGAGACGGTGCCGTTTCAGGGCATCTTTTCGAGAAAACTGCTTGCCGCAGTAGCTGCAGGGAAAGGGCTTGACCGAGAGATGGATCCTCTTATGCCGCTTCAGGTCATGGTTACGGCTGAAGGATTGGACGCACGTGTCGCACTTGAAGGGCCGGTCCTGCATCTGCGACGACGTCGACGGATACATGTACTGCTGTCCCATGTGCATGGCACCCGGGTGCATGGGTATGGCGCCCCCGTTGTGCGGACCGCCGCCGTGCATCAGGGCTTGTGGGAGAGGCATGGGCGGGTAGAAGGACTGGTGATGGTTTCGGTAGGGCGCGGGTGGCGCCATCATGGGCTGCGGCTGCTGATGGTGGCCCATGTGCTGCTGCATGTTATGCATCGGCGGCGGCGGCGGTCCCGGGTACGGCGAGGCCATCGAGTCGAATGTCCTGGGCTGCTGCAGGTGAGCAGGCGGCGTAGTGTGAGTAGGCGAGGGGAGCGCATAGGTCGATGCCGGGAGCGGGGGTTGGCTGTACATCGGAGGCCGAGACTCGTACTGCGAAAAGCCGGTTTGTTGCTGTCTCTGTATCGGCGACGGTGAGCCGGCGAAGCTGTTACTATTGGAGGCGGGCCACGAGCCCTGGCCCTGGCCCTGGCCGGCGAAGCTGTAGTGCGGTTGTCCCAGGTTGCTGGAGGGGTTATGCTGACCCTGACCCTGACCGGGGTTCTGAGGTTGTATCGAGGGCATCCCCGGGCTCATGTTGTCTCCGGCTCCTGCAGCGATAGTTGTATTAGCCTCATACTCGTGACCTGCCAATGTTTTCTTGTGTCACCCTGGCCGAGGGAAGGAGGGGGAGGTGGTGAGAGATAAAGAGGTAGTGGGTTACCGGATGCATCTGAGGAATCTGGGGGGGTTAGGGACGATGCGAGTCCTCTTGGATCGTAACCGAAGGAATTGAATGCCATACTTGGGATATCTGAAGACTGCCTGATGGGCATCTGGAAGGGAGGCAGCGATTCGGTCGCGGGACGACGAGATGTTAAGCCCTTGTATTCGTCCATCATGAGATTGTGGTGAACTGTGACGCAGTCAGGAAGAGAGGCCGAGTGGCGGATGGCTCAAGCCTAGGCTGGCGGATAGGCGTTTTCGTAGTCGATGGCTTTATCACAAGGAGGCAGCGTCCGCCCGTCCAGCTCTTGATTTCTTGCCTATCTTGAAATTTTTTTTTCTTTTTTTCTTTTTCTTTTTTGCTTTATTTCCCGTACAGACGAAGGCGGGTCAAGTCGTTTCTTGGCGTAGGACGAATAAACGGGTGCGATGATGGTGTTATAAGAGAATGCAGACTTGTGTGTGTATGCGTGCGTGTGCGTGCGTGGTGGTGGAACGAGAGATGAGCTGGTACCGCTACTGAGATGTCTGTTGTTCTTCTGACGAGGACAGATAGGCCGATGCGAGTGAGAAGAAGAGAGCCACGGATATTAGTATGGCAGGGAAGGGGCGGCTCGGGCGAGTCCAGCTTCCAGAAGAACCCGAGACTTTAGGCCTGGATGTTAAATAGGCGGGGAGACGAGAAGAGACTAGAGCTTGACAGGAGCTTGACAAGAGCTTAAGGGAAAGAGGAAGAGGGGGGTGCCAGCCCACCACCCTCACCACATCCACCGCACGCACACGCACGCACACGCACACGCACACGCACACGCACGCACAAACGCACAGGCACAGGCACAGGCTCACGCCTATGCGTCTTCCTGAACGAGATGACACACATATACGTGATGCTCCAGCACCAGTTGCCGATTTCGCAACCTTCAGAAACAGATTTGGGGGTCAAGGGACCCGAAAAGACGGAGGCTGACGCACGACGTAGTCCCACGCCTTCCGGGAATAGGTTCAATAAAGGATGTCGGCAGAGTGGATGCGTGTATATCGTGTCGTATATCGTGCCGTATAGGATCCCCACAAGAGGCTCTGTCGCAGCTTGTGATTATGGGATCTCCTTCTTCTGCCGACGTTCTCAAGGTTGAACTGTGTTGGTGGCGTGGCGTTCAACGGAAGTGTATATTGTGCGGATGACAGGACCCTCTGATGACGGCAGAGGGTATCTCAAGACGGGCGGAGAGACGATCTCGGCAGCGAAGCACACAGAGTTGGGCGTGACCTGTCTGGAAACCGATCTAGGGACGTGCCGGTCCGCGAGCTTGAGAAGAGACGTCTTGTTTCGCGGGAACGGCTTAGATAGATGCAGAATGGTGACGGAAAAGGCTGGAAAGATGGCGTGGGAAGATTGTCAGTGGCTGGAGTATAAATCAAGCATGTACATGTATATGTATGCGCCACGTCGACGATGATTTGTGTGGGATTGTCCAAGAATGGCGCGTCCTTGACGTTATGACTGGGTTGGCGTGAGTGTCGAGAGGAAGGAGGATGACACAAGGTATAGACGTACAGGCCACACACAGCAGAGTATATATAATAGCGTATCAGAACAAACACAGAGCTTGAAGCTTGAGTCGCCGAGACGAATGAGATTGAGGAGGAAGAGGAAGAGGAAGGAGGAGGAGAAGGGTATCAAATAAGATGGAAAAGGGGAAACCGTATGTTCAGAAAGAGGTTCAAGTAAAGAGGGAGAGAAAGGAAGCAAGAGGAAGGAGAGGGCGGGGACAGATACGAATGAGGTCCGGGAAAGTAGCCAAGATGTATGAGCTGCGGCTGGACTGGACTAGACTGGACCAATGTACACATATATACGTACGGAGTTGGTAAATAAAAGTAGCAGTGTAGTAGCAAAGCAAGTAGTACAGGTACTAGAGGCAATAAAATAGAGAAGGGGAAAAAGAAAGAACAAGAGGAAAAGGAATAATTGAAAAATAGTACGAGTAACATGGCACGGCCAAGTCTTGATGGGGGGGGGGCGTGTATGTATATATGCTGTATTACATGTTTGTAAAGGTGGGTGTGTGGATGTTTGGGAGAAGCGAGAATGAGAAGCAGACGAGGAGCTTTTCAAGGGTCTGGACCTGGACAGGCCTTGGCATCGATTTTGAGTTTAGTGTAGGCAAGAAGAGCAAGAAATCAGTGAAGCAGCGAAGCATTGAAGCAGTATATTATTGGTGATTACCGGGAGAGGAGTCGATGGGGATTATATGGGCAAGTATAGAAGTAATACGGAGTAATAGTAGTGGTCGTATAGTTTGGTGTTGCACTGCTATCTATCGTGGTAAGGTCACTAAATGCTGGTAGTAATAATCCGGTAGTACATGATACTGTTTGTGGTGATGATTATGTAAAGTCATGACGGTGCGGTAGCGAAGTAGCTATTATTATTAATACATAGCACATAGCACGCGTGGAAATACTGGGAATATACCTGACAATACCCAATACATGATGCATGCGAGGCACGTACATCGTTCACGTCCAAAGTTGGCGAGAGTCGTAGCATGCGGGAATCATGATCAAGACGGATACTGCTCACATCGCCACGTTGCTGCTCTACCCCTCTCCTTCTCCTTACTCTGTGCTCTGCCTAGTCATCCGTCCTCAGCAGGATGAAGGATTGATCAATCGAGATGGAAAGATGGAGAGATGAAGAGAGATGGAAGGAAGTGGAGGGAGATGGAAAGATGGGGAGAGATGGGGAGAGAGAGAAGAAGAGAGAAGAAGGACGAGAGGAAAAGGGCAGAAAAGGGCCAAAAAGGGCCAAAAAGGAATGCGTTGATGCTCGTTTGTGAACCACTTGATAGGATGAAAGGAAGGAGCGACAAACAGCAAGAACAGACGAGGCCAAGAGGCGATAGCCAAGTTGTGTAGGTTCTTGGGTTCTGCCTCTGGCTCTTGGCCCGTCGCTCCTTCTTCTTTTCTTTCATATCACCACGCCCCCCCTATTACTTCTTCCCCACCCACCGCTCACGGACAGACAGACACAGATAGACAGACACGGACGGACAGACGGACAGACGGACAGACAGTCAGACAGACAGACGCAGACACTCATTCTCTCTCTCTCTCTCTCTTTCTCTTTCTTTTTCTTTCTTTTTCCTTTTTCTTTTTTCCCTTTTTTCTCCCCATTCGTACGTTCTCTCCCAGATAGCAAGTCCCTTGACAAATTCCATTCTCTCCACTTCCTTCTCTCGTTTCTTCTTCTCCCCGTCTATACTCATCCGTCTCCCCGTTTGACTGCGGAATACCCGAAAGGAGTAATAAAGCTGCGGTTTCGTTCCACGCACGCACCCCTCCTCTTCCTTGGATATCCGGCCATTTCTCAGATGGATAAGTGTGTGGGTGTATTAACTCTGCCTCTTTTCATATCTGAATTTTATGTTTTATGTTTTAACTTATCTTTATGTTTTATTTTTATTTCTTCATCTTTTTTTTATTTTTTTTACTCTGGACCCGATACAAACTATACCCACACCAGACGTGCTCCGTACATTGCGTGTGTGCGTACGAATACACTATTACGGATACGGATACATGTACTCTGACTCCCTCCATGCAAAAAAAAAAAAAAAGAAGAAGAAGAAAGAAAAAGAAACAGGACGGGAACCATGGCCCATGGCTTGAGAATGGGAACGGGCAAGGCTGAAGGGTCCCGTTACGGCGGTCCCTTGGAAGTCAATACTGCCTACTCCGTACGCCTCTCCCCGCTCATCGGGTGGGCACACACGAGGGACCACACGAGGGGCCACATGAGTAAAGGGGACCAGCCTCATCCGACTTGTTGGTGTCCCTACCAAGAATAGCGTGCTTGTCTCGCATGCATATGCACACACACACACATACACACACTCATATATATATGTGTGTGTGTGTGTGCGTGTGTGTGTTTGTGTGCGTATGTGCTAGGCTCTAGGTAGCTGACTAGCTATTTCTCTGTACTCCGTACAGACACAGACGGCAGGGTCCTATGGCAGCCAAGTGGGAGCGGTGCACGTCATGAAAGTACATGCCCATGATCAACTCAATGTGCGAGCATGGCCATGTCCTGAGATTACTCACCTGTACAGGTACGATGCAACGCACAAACCTGCCAGTCGTCCGTCGACAAGACAAGGAGACAGTGCAAGACGCCGTGAGAGACGAAATGGACGAGGCTCATTCGACAAACTCTGCTGCTGCACCGTCTCTCTCACTCACACACACACACACACACTCTCTCTCTCTCTCTCTCTCTCTTTCTTTCTCTCTCTCTCCCTCTCCCTCTCCCTTTCTCTCTTTTGTTTAATTTCTCAAATATAATTTATTTCATCAAAGATTCTGTCTATTCTTCTCTCCTCTTCGAAGTAGTCGCCCCTTGCCAAGTAACAGAGGTACTCGTACGAGCACCTACCGCGGGATAGGTAAAGCGTGGAATGAATCGAGTCCCATGTCCATCCGCCTACGTCGCCACCCACACCACCGCCATTACCGCTGCCACCTGCTGCTGTTACCGCTGCCGCTGCTCCTGCGACTTGTCCTGCGACTTGTCCTGCGACCGTCCCCACGGCAGGCTTCGCCATCGTATGCGTCTCCCACACGGGCCTCATTCGGGCACTAAAATGTATCATGACCACGGTCCAGGCTCTCTCCAAATCTTGCCATCCAGGCCGTGTCCTGCCATTGAAATGTTCCAGCTTTCCCTGACATTGCCACACTTCTCGGCCCCCCCCCTAAAAAAAAGACGTGACGACAAGGGACGAAGAGAACGCGAGAGAGAGAGAGTGAGTGTGTGTGTGTGTGAGAGAGAGAGAGAGAAAGAGAGAGAGAGAGAGAGAGGGGGGGGGAGACGACATGACGCATACATGTACAAGTCATGTACAAGTGGCAAGCGCCCTCGCATCTCGAGTCTCGAGTCTATTTTCACCGACCACTCACCGAGGTTGAAATACGCATGCCATTGCTGATGATGGTAAGATATGGCGGAGCTTTCGGTGAATTGGCTCGTCGCCTGCCGGCGGGATAGGGAAGGAACGGTCGGCACCCAAGCACCCAAATGTCCTCCTGTCTGGGTAAGACAGTGACATGTGAGTATTCGTATCATCATTACAGAGAAGGGGAGGCCAGGCCAGGCCACGGCCTCTCCCCCACCATCGCTTCCCTTTCCGGGACAATTCCCGTCGAATGGAGAGAAGGTGCGAGATGGTGAGACTGGAAGAAAACAGGGAGTCAGGAGACGTGTACAAACTCCTCGTCCCCTCCCCCCCCCCCCCCCCCAACCCACCCAACAAAAAAAAAAAAAAGAGGAGCGAGGAACAAAGGGCATGGAGTCTCCCTCTGAAACACGGCAATAGCATGCTGTGTGTCTGTCGTACAAGATGGTATTACTATCACTACATGTATCATGTAATATTATTATCGCTCCATACAGTCTACCTTGTTAATAGCAACCTACCTGTACGATGATGACTGCAGTATTCGTATTTTTCTTTGTCCTTGTTCTTGTCTTTCTTCTTTTTCCTTTTTTTTAAAAAAAAAGGAAAGAAGAAAGGAGGATACGATGCAATGCGGCACAGTATCGTATCTCAACTATTTTGTTGATCCTCCTCCTCTGTCATCTTGTTTTTTTCCCCCTCTCCTCCACCTCCCCTTGTGTTTCCTGTTTCTGTTTCTGTCTCTCGTTGATTACTCTGATTGCTGACTTTGCAGGTTGTCCACAGGTAGGACGAGCGCGGTGAGAACAATACAAAGTGCAATCCAGTTGGTTGTACGGAGTATCATTGCTCGTACTACTGCTGCTGCTACTACTGCTACTACTGCTGCTGCTGCTGCTGCTACTACTGCTACTACTGCTGCTGCTGCTGCTGCTGCTGCTGCTGCTACTGCTACAAGTGTATACGAGTACATATCCTTACTTGTACACATATAACAATAATAGCCTCGTACATGCTAAGCCGAGAGAATGTCACCTTGTGGCGGATCAATCTGACAGAAAGCCACGGCGTGGATTAGATGACAAAAAAAAAAGAAGAAGAAAAGAAGGAAAAAGAAAGGAGAATGGAGGGGATGAAAAGCCTGTTCCTGCCTGTGTCCCTGTCGGATGGCTTTTTCTTCTTCTTCTCTCTTCTTTATTTTATTTTCGTTTTATTTTTATTCTCATGTTTTAATTTATTTACTTTTTTGAATATTTTCCCCAGCCACCAAAAAAAGTGACTGTGTGTATGAAATTTGTTTCTTCTTCTTCTTCCTTCTTCTTTCCTTCTCTGATATGACAGACATACAGATGGGCATGCACCGATTCTTTCTCTCTGTTTTCTTCTTCTCTGTATCTTCCTATCTTCCTAGTCGTCCCACCCCACCTCCCCCCTTTTTTTATTTTTATTTTATTTTCAATATAATTTTTTTCTTGGAACTTGAGCATGGTTTCATGAGGGGAAGAGAAAAAGTGTGGTTATGTGTATTTATGCGTGTGTATATTTATGTGTGTGTGTATTTATGCGTGTGTGTATTTATGCGTGTGTGTGTGTGTGTGGTGGGTGAGGGGTTGATCCCGAGGGGGTTGATCCGAGTCAAAAAAGCCCCATCTACGGCCCAAGGTCTGGCCCGGGTTTAGGGCCCCCCCCCCTCCCTTCTCTACCCGCCGCCGCTACCGCTTCGTAGCCGCTGCTGCCGTGCCGCCGCCCGACGCCGTCCAGCCCCCACCCCCTATTCTCCTGGTCGGATATGGACGATGCACCGTGATGAGGGACAGACATGATGTTGAGTCGGGACGGATGGCCTAGCATGATTTTCGATGCGCGGTGTACGGTACGAGCAGTACAGATTGCAGACATACGGACAGTCCAATACTACCCCTCGATATCTGTACGATACGATAGTACGGAGTGATAGATTGCATTAAGAATGATAAGAATGATCGACCTCCGGGGTACACACAGAGAGGGGGGGGGGGGGGGGGGTGATCACTTGTCGCAATGATCATTTACAGAGTACAGAAGTTGGGAGAGCCCCGCCGGTAACCTATGACCTATTATCTGTCAGGCCATTCTCGGAGGGTGGTAGAAGGGGGGAGGATCGGTAAGATGACGGTAATCGGTGTATTAGAGGTCGTAGTACGTGTATAAGCACTTTTTTGGGGGGTATTGGTATTGGTATATCGATAATTGGGGTGATGGGG